CATGCCAGAGTCCTAAGGGAATTGGCTGAAACAGTCACCAAGCTGCTCTCAATGATATTTGAAAAGTCACAGTGGTCAAGTGAATTTCCTGCTAACTGGAAAAATGGCAATGTTGCACCCATTTTTAAGAAGGGTAGAAAGGATGATCCAGCGAACTACCAACCTGTCAGCCTCACCTCTGTGCAGGGGAATATCCTGGTAGCTATGCTACGGTAGCGAAGGAGGTGATATGAGATAACCAGCACCTCTCCTATGAGGACAGGCTGAGAAAGATGGAGCAACCCAAAGAGAAGGTTCTGATGTGACCTGAGAGCAGCCTTTCAGTATCTAAAAGGGAGCTGGCCTTGTAAGAAAGAAGGAGACAGATTCTTTATCATAGTTTGCTGTATTAGCACAAGGGGAAATGGTTTCAAATTGAAAGAAGGGAGATTTGGACTCTATATAAGGAAGAAGTTTTTTACAATAAGGGTAGTGAGGCATTGGCACAGGTTACCCAGAGCTGTGGTGGATGCCCTGTCCCCGGAGATTTCAAGATGAAGCTGAACAGAGCTCTGAGCAACCTGATCCAGCTGTAGGTATCCCTGTTCATTATAGGGGAGTTAGACCAGATGACCTTTAAGGGTCCCTTCCAACTCCAATGAGTCTGTGATTCTATGCCTTGGGAACAGTTCTCCATTTACACACCTAATGCCACGTGCCCATAAATGTGAGCACCGCTTATCATTACCCAGCTCTGTCTGCACACTGAGCACAGTGCACACTTGTTATGTAGTTTTCTTGTTCTGGACTACCTACACTTTGAAATCAAGACTAGGCACATAACAGATTCAGGGTTTTTTTTATTAGCTTTCCATGTGAGCATTACAATTTATAATACATCATATCTAGTTTTTACCTCCAAATTAATCTAATTTAGTAAATCATGTTATTAGTGGGCTAAACTTCCAGCTAGCATTTTAATATCCTTCAAACGAGGCAAGCTAGGATGTCAATCGATCACTTGACAGACACGTAGGTAGTGTTCCCAAACCACCCCAGCCCCAAATTAAACTAGGAAGCGGATACAATTCAAAGCATGAACGGCTCGGTCGCTCCTTCCCTCCCCCCGCAGAACTAATGAACACTTACGGCGACTCTTCTGCCTCAGGACAGCTCCAGATCTGAGTGGGGACAGCTGTCAGGCCGCAGCAGCCAGCATCGGGCACTCGGCCCTTACCGGTAGCCAGGCCCGGGCTGCGCGTAGCCCTGGGGCCCAAAAGGCGGCCGGGTGCGGGCGTACGGGTTGGGCCCGGTGGGTGGTGGCGTCATGGTGCTGCCAGGTGGCGGGGTGAAGCCGGGCCGTGGCTGGAATGTGCCGGGCGCTGCCTGGGCGCCAGGTGGGCCGCTGTATGGAGCCGGCTGCGAGGCCTGCGTGGTGTAGGGCTGTGGGGGGAAGCTGCCTGCCGGGTACTGCTGAGGCTGCTGTGCCGGCAGCTGCTGGGCCTGGCCCTGCCCTGGAAAGGCGGCGGCTGGGGCCGGTTGCTGGCTGTAGGCTGGGAACTGCTGCGCCGGCTGAGAGGCGGCCTGCTGCGGGCTGTAGCCGGCTGTGGGAGGAGAGACATGGGTAAGGCATGGCGTGACACCGAGGGCACATGCACAGTGACCGCGATGACGGCAGATGTAGCACGATAAGCACAGACAAGCAAACGTAAAGAACTGCGAGTTCTCCTGCTGTCACGTAAACACAGCCTGGTATTCCCACAGCCAACAAGAAATTTAAAAGACAGACAAACAGCAGTTTACCATCACATCACATTAAAAGTAAAAAAATCTTTCTTGACAGACAAGGTAAAAATGTAGCCTTTTCCACCCCCAAAAAACAAAACCAAACTGTTATGAAAACACAGTCAGTGCACTTAAGTCAGTGTGTTGGTTATATTGTAGATGCTTTCAGTTCTTCAGAAGCAGGCTAAAGTTCAATATAAAATTGTGCAGAGCAGAATACTTGAATACAAAACTCCCACTGAAACACGTCCCAACTTGGTGTTTCTACATAAAAAACCACCTTCCAAAAAGTATTTCTCTCGTTGAAGACTTTAAAATAACATTAATTCCCTTCATGAAGAAATAGCTACTTTTATCCATCACGAAACACACCTGCAGCTACTCGCAATGAAACCTCTCCATTGACTGGAATCCTGTCAGCATTAAACACCAGACACACAAGTTATTGAAAGTGCACAGCCCTGAACAGAAAGAGTAAGGCTCGAAGAATGCACTGCAGTATATTTTGAACTCACCTGGAAACTGGGATTAAAATTTACTCATGAAACAAACCTTGTAAGGCTGCGTGTTCACTACCATGAGCAAATCTTCTTGTCTAGCAGAGCTACTGGGCAGAGTGGGAACGGATCCTGCACTGTGAGATGGGGGTTCTGGAGGTAATCCTCATGGGCACAACAGCAACAAGCAGATGAATAACCACTTCCAAGCAAAACTTTTCAATGGCAGCTGTCAAAAGGTCCTCACAATGAGACCGCTCCTGACCGATCTGATTAACGGTGAAATGGGTTTTGGGAAACACAAGGAACTCCATATAATTTCTGGCGATAATGGTTTCTTAATGGAGACATTCTAAGAACTGGGGACACAGAACTCATTTTGAACTATAGGTACTGCAGGAACTTCTGCAGTAAAATAACAGTTTAGATGTTTAAATGATTAGCATAGATGGAAACTTCTTTAAGCCTAACTTCAGCAGAAGGAACCAGACTGGTGGCAGTCTGTCATGGATGTCTAACTACACAGAGCACAGGAACAAGGGATGATGCACAAACCCTCCATTCCAAGTTTTCTAGGATTCTTATCCAAGATAAACACAGGAATTTTTTCATAAGCCACACAACTGTTCTCATCTACATCAAATCTGATGCACTTCCACTGTATATATTGTGGGGGGAAAAAAAAACAGTGATGCAGGCTGTTTTCTGAGTTACTTAACAGTATGGAAGTCTTTGCTTGTTTTAAACAATCTTGGTTAAACTCCGACATGACAAATGCTTTCTGTCTTCTTCTAAAAGCCATAAGCAATTGGAGATGTACATTCATCTTTGTACTGTAGCACACGCTATCTATTATGAAATGCCAGCCTCTGCTGAAGCAAATAACTAGAAATTCTGAAGTCAAGTTTATTTTGGAGACACACAAAACCTAGAGTTTTATATCTGCAGACACACCACTAATGCACTAAATATGGTCTCCTGTCAAAAGCAGTAGCTCCTTTAGTTGAGGCATCTGTAAGTTGAGGCATCTTTGCTAGAATGCCAAGATGCAGACCTCAACCCTAAAGACTGCTCACGCTTTATTTCACCTACTTTTCTACCAGTGCATTCTTCTGACAGGTGCGTAGAAATGAAATACCAGAAGTGCAACTCTAGTAGAAACACACACTGACATCATTTGCTAACTGGTCATTTTTGAATTGTGCCCATTTCCCTCAGAAGCGCAGGTGTTTGAGATACTCAGCACCCTGAGCTGCCCCATACATTCAGGATCCACAGCTCAGAGGCCCGGGCACCAATGGAGACATCCCCCAGCCACACCACAGTTTGCAGGAGCTGCTTACCTGGGTACTGCACACCGTACTGCTGCTGGGGCTGCGCCTGTGGCTGCTGGGCAGGGTAACCCGGCTGCTGGTACTGCTGGTACATCTGGCCTGGGGACAGAGAACTCTGTTGGTTGAGAGCTGGTACCTGAGCTGTATAACAAAGATCAGATGCACGACATCCTAGCAGTCTGAGTTGCAGAAATAACATGCACAAATCACAGATTTTAGTTTCTGAGCCATGCCATTCTGAAGACAGAACAAACAGTCCTAATTTGATGTGGGGGCCACTATTTCAGGGGATGCCAAGAGCCATATACCTTAATTAGAACTACACTGCTGTGTAACAGAGAAGGAATCTTTACATGGCTTGCTAACTTCTCCAGAACTTACACTGTAAATTAAAGTACTTCAGAAGTTAAACATGTCCCCTTTGTCTGTTTATAATAGTTTTTAAAGACTATTTCTGTACAAAGTATTGTAGCAGTGGTACATTATTCATTCTGACCACATTTTCTAGACAAGTCCTCCATCTCTTAACATGTGACTTGCTGTAAGCCAGGTTTTCTTAAGAGTCCCAGGGGTACAGCCCTAAAACTGAAATAAAACTGTACATTCTTAAGGTTGGGTATTCTAATTCAATGCTGATTTTTCCTAAATTTACTTTGTTAATTTTCTTGGCAAGCAGAGGCAGAATATTTGTTTTGACTTAACCTATGGGCCCTGCTTAGGTTTTCTGCTTCTGCTGTTTCTCGTTTGAATAACATGCACAAAGAACAAAACTAATTATCTGCCAAACCAAAGCTTAGCTGAACTGGACCAGACTCAGAGACTTCACTACTATAAAGTGTTACTGTACCATCAGTCATTCTGCAAAGACCAACAGGCTGTATAAATAGCACTGCAAACCCTATCGTCTGAATTGCACTAAGACAGTAAAGGGAGCTCTCCTCCAAGTCCTCCCACATCCCCGTACGTGCCGCTTCAGCAGGAGTCCTCTTTTCCTTTTAACTCTGTGTTAACTGCAGCTCAAAGCAAAAGTGTTTTACATTCCTACTAGCCCTTCAAAACTTTATTTGATATACAACTGTTACGAGATGAAGAGTGCTGAGCAGAAGGACTGAAGAGAATGCAAAGTACATAATACACTTCTTTGTTGTGCTGAATAAATTCAAACTGGTGAATGCTTGAAACTTGATTGGGCCACTCAGTAGTATCAGCACAGAGATTTAATGACCTTCACAAAGAAAAATAACTAGTAACCAATAATAACATCATACCTAATGCCATTTTTAAAAATCCTGAGTTTTAAGAAAATTTTTTAAAGATTGTATATATATGAGACACTGAATCATTATTATAGCTTTAAGCCACAAAGATGACTTCTTTGTCATTTATATCCCTTAAGTAGTATGAGAGAAATAAGCAAAACAAGCTGAAAGCAGCATAAACAAGCTGTTCCACTTCAACCAACAGCTTTCATGCACAGACCTAACTATGGGTTGCTCAAATACTCTGTTCGGTCACAATGTTACTGCTAACCACCAGGAAGGGATTTCAAATGACTGTGGACACTGTGGTCACTGTCACCAATGTCTCTTATGCCTGTCTGTTAAATCAGTAAAGAAAGTAGTTGAGTGTTTTAACTTGTTTCTGCATCAAAATAGAGAAATATCTTTATAACATAGTTGCTATGGAGGTACAAGCAGCAAAGCAAGTCATGCCACAGCTGTGTCTAGAACTAAGCAGGTCTGAAAGCTCAGTGCTCTTAGAAAACATGAACAGAATATTGATACTCCCCAAGTTACATCGCTACCCTTTCAAATGGAGCTACTGCTCCACCTGCCGATTGTATGTTGAATGACACATGGGAAAACAACACTGCCTGGTGGGTATTTGTAGCTGTGTATTGACTTTGGGCCTGCTAATTAGAAACCGCAGGTACAGAGCACATAGATTCAGGCAGCAGCACTCATGTCAAACAGCAGAGAAGGCACACCTCACCTTCCACCTGCTGACCTGTCTGTTGCTGTGCTCCCGGGTACGGTGCCTGCTGGGGCTGCACGCCAGGGGGGTGAGCTGCAGAAGAGGAGGAAGCGATGCTGTCTGGTGTTCCCGATCGTTCTTCTGCAGGGGCACTGGGTGGGCCTAGAGAAGAGAGAACAAAATGCATTAAAATAAATGAAGAGGGAGTTTGAATAGCAAGCCCACACCCTTGCAAAGTTTTTAATATTTCTTCCAGTTTTCCGTAGATTTACCTTTGGAAGTATGTATTTGCATATCTCAAGTCTATTTTAAAAATATATGGGGGAGGAAATTCCCCACCTCTCTCAAATCAAAGTCACTCAAATTTCGTGCTCTTTCGCTTTGTGGATAAAGCCCTCCATAACAACACTGTTTCTGCAGCTTCAGGCACTCACCCTGCACTTAGGCTCCAAAGGCTTGCTGCATTTGGACAGAACGCACACCTAACGTACCTCACTCTTCTGCACCCTGAACGAAGGTGCAAAGCTGCAGGAAATTATTCAAATGCTGTCATGTTTTGCTGTGGCTCACAGGCCCAGGCAATGAAACGTTTTACCAACAGTCACACAGCATGTGAACAGAACACCTCTAAGAGATGTCTTAGATTTGCAGACCCACACAGGATACAGCCGGTGTCAGTCTGAAAGCAATTGTTTGCTTGGAGAACTGTGAAAGTATTCCAGCTACTGAGCAGCACCCAAAAAAAGCATGGAGACAGGGAATTCAGTTTTTATTTAAGTTAATGAGAAGGTGTGAAATAGGCACGTGAACAGGCATGGCATACTACAGTTAAAACACTTTGTTAGAAACAAGGGAACTTAAACCCAAATCTTTCCAGCTCTTAGGTTTATGAGTACAACGCATGATAAGCTACTTTCAAATACATGCACAGAGTTAAACAAGATTATTAGGCTTTCTGCAAATTCACTACTGTAAGATAATTGTATTTAAGCATGCAACAAGCATATATTTGCATTTCCACATTACCCTTACTAGGGGCAAAGTGAATTGAAGCTGCCCACTTCTGATTTTGGCTTTAAAGCAACAATCCTGCAGTTACACATGTAGGAATGTGATATCTCAATATCCTGCTTAAATGGTCCTTTATGAAGTCCTTTGTGCATTCAAAGCATAGCCAAATCAGTTCACTCTATCAAAAGAATTATGGAGATACACACATCTTAAAGTACCACTGATGCTACGATGAAAGCATTAACTGACAGTGAAGCTTTGTACCCAAACAGAAAATCACTCCTTTAAAAATCAGCTCATATTTTCAGCCAGTTATACTTCACAGTCTCATATAACAGTTGATCACTCAGAATTAGTTCACTGTAAGTTTTCAAGTACCATCAAATCTTTACCAAGCATGTGAAATAACTATGCTGTAACATCCCCAAAAATACTACATGCAGGAAGAGATTGCTCAAGACCATATGAAATCATATAAAGACCACACTGGTCTAAAGTGAACATGGCAAATCCTGTTAAGAGTAGGTTTTTCAGGTAACAATGTCATACTAAATTTTGTCAGTCAAGAAAATCCTTTACAAAGTCATTTCTCTATATTCTGCATCACATTCCTGTTATATCCTTAATTTCTTTTAAAATTCCAGTTATCTTGTCTTAAGCTGACTGTATTCAGTTTCATATAAACTGCATTTAAATGTTTTGTTTTCTCCTCTTAGTCATACTGGTACTAATCATGCAGTTCTCCAAGAGCAATTCATCATTCTGACAAGTAAGTGACTCCTTTCTGCTAAGATTAAAAAACATTGTCACTGCTTACTTCTGAAATGCAAAAGAGAAAATATGGGGTTATATAAACCATCCTGATTGACCCAAGGAGCAGAACACAAGCTGAGAACCTATGCTGAACCACAAGATGGATCCTTAAGGCCAAGCAGTGGGTCCCATTCTTCCATCACTGGCAGTTACCAATTAAGTTACTGTACATTAGCTATTTTAGTACTAGCTTTAATTAGTTGAAACAAAAAAAAATGAACTATTTTTTACTCCAAGCTACAACAGCAAGCTACAACCAACAGCAACATTTTGGCACTTTGTATACAGAACTTAGCGAGCCTGTTTACAATACCTTGATGGATCACACATTTTAGAATTCTGAAAAGGAATAGTCAATACAGAATGCAGCTTAATACATCTAAAAAACAAATGCTCTATTGCAAATCAAGCTTTAGGTAATCATTTATTAACAGGCTTTGCTTTCTTTTTCGTAAGACGTATTCTTACCTGACACCTGATCATCTGTCAAGCCAAATGCTGACATGACATTCTTGCTGATTTCATCCTGATTCTTTAGTGGATCGAATGCAGACATGCTTGCTGCTATAACTTGAGTGGATGGCTTAACATTAGAGTCAGCAGCAGCAGGCTTTTCTTCCCTACCATCCACAGCATCTACGAAACAAAATGCCCTGGTTTGAATTCTCAAAAACTCAAAAAAAACAAAACAACCTGCTGAAAGGCTTATGTTAGAACAATGTGATTAATGAGTGCTGTAGCTGAAAATGATGAACCACAAAGCTGAGGTCTCATTGCATAGTGAAGGATGCACTGACACTGGAGCATCAAATCTCTTCAGTCTGAAGTTCAAAGGTTCCCGCTACAACACACTGTTCTGGTATGATTTGCCAACTGAGAATTCTAAATTAAGAACAGTTACAGAACAGCTTCCAATTTATTATATTGTTTCATGAACTGTAGATCTTGTTCTGTTCCCCTCCTCCCCAGTTCCACTCCCCACGTTGATGGATGAAGCTCATATCCCTGCAGAACCCATTCCCTCTGAAGCCCCTTATCTTCTATGGGGCTCCATTTTCACTGAGAAACAAACAGTACAGGTAGAGTTTAAAGTGGCTGTTTGCACTCTGTGATTATCACGCTAACCTTCTTCCAAACAGTTTATAGCCCAAATTCCCAGTACTCCACCAAAATTAGTCACTGCTTATGTTGTAGAACAGGGCTTGGATTTTTGAAGGTTTTCCTGTTAAAGTGACAAAAGCCATGTTTCTTAAGAGAAAGGCTGGAGCTACTAGTTTACCACTTTACTTGGAATTCTGTATTCCATTATTCTTCTTCTATACTAGGAGATCACTGTCTCAAAACTGGGAGAATATGTGTTCCTCCCCCATTTCGCCCCCTCCCCCATAATCCTTTCCCACCCCTATTCTGCACCCTTGTGCTGCTTACCCTGAGACAGCTCTGATGCTGGTCTGAGCTCAAAATGTCTGGATTCAATTTCCTAACCTGGCAAAAGAAGTGAATATAATTTTTGCTGAATTAGCCTTTTACTGTTCTAGTGACTCAAACCTGCTTAGCAACATGACAAGATAAGCACCAGAGCTAGCCCAAAGTAAGCAGTGGGAGTGCTCAGCTGGGAGCAAGATCGTCCCTCTTCAGCAACAACATACTATTAATTTAGCTGGAAGCCCTGTCAAAAAGCTGTCCCAACTCACAAGCATTCGTTACAGCGTTTACATACGTGACAACAAAAATCATACTTGGAGCTGTTATTTCTAAGTTAACTTACTGCTTTACTTTAAATAACCTGAGGCAGATTCTGCCTCTGAAATAACTGAAGCATTACAAATTGAGCAAAGATCAAGAATGATCACAACCAGTACTTGAAACCTTATCTTTCACTCTGTTAAACAGCACGCGTCCCTGCAAACCAAACCCAAAAGTCTTTGCCAGGCTGCCTACCACTTTCAGGCAGGTTGGTGGAAACCCCTGGTTCAGTGGGTGGCTCTAAACAGTCCAGTAAGCGATTGACTTTATTGCGAAGTTCTATCAGCTCTCGACGCAGGTATTTCACCTGATTGGATTCTAGGGGTCTCGGCTGTCCGTTAACTGCAAAACAGCAATTACATACATTTACAACTGTAATAATGTGTTGATATTCAGTTTAAAATTGAAAGAAAACCAACTCAGCATTCCCAACTTCAGAATCATCCTACCTTGTGAAATTCGGAGTGTCACACAGTGAGTAAACACAGGCTAAACACACTCTAGAGCTAACTGTTCCTTTATATAATCTCATTTTAGCCTGACACTACTGAGAGCCAGAACTACAGAGTAAATCTTGCAGCAAGTTTCTGCATTACTTACTCAGTTTCCATGACTATACCCTGAACAATACAAATACCATATCTGGTTGTGGAAATCTGTCTTCCCTTAGGCTGTGCTTTTAGAACTAAGGTAGCACACACAACACTCTTGCACCTCGAGAACAGGGTCAGCCTTCCAGTTAAAATCTGCCTGCTATTCTGTGGAACTGTGCAAAATTATCAAAAGCAACCTGAAAACAAAGAATTATTTTATCAAAGGCAAAAGGATAAACATTAAAATCTATTATATTAGAAGCATTTGACATTATTTTTAATAGTGTCCTAGCAACACTGCAAGTTTACCATCAAAGTTTCTCATATGCCTGTGAAGAAAACCCCCCTACACAAAGGCTACAGTGGAAGATAACATGGAAAATAATATTACAGCAAAACAACTGACCCTTTGTTTTTGTATGCCAGTTAATATAAGCCATGTTATGAAAACTGAGACAGAATCAGTTTCTGCAAATTCAGATATCATGTGAAAGAGCAAGAAAGAAAACAGATGTCATATATTAATCCACTGTTTGTAATTCATTGATTTCTTCCAACGTGATATAAACCAAAAATCATAGAACAACAGAATGAATCATAGAATGGCCTGGGTTGAAATGATCATCTGGTTTCATCCCCCTGCTATGTGCAGGGTCACCAACCAGCAGCCCAGGCTGCCCAGAGCCACATCCAGCCTGGCCCTGAATGCCTCCAGGGATGGGGCATCCACAGCCTCCTTGGGCAACCTGTTCAGTGCATCACCACCCCGTGTGTAAACCTTCCTCCTAATATCTAACCTAAACCTCCCCTGTCTCAGTTTAAAACCACTCTGCCAGAATTTTAATAAAGATTATTTTTAAAAAAAGGTACGAACCACCTCATACACTTACCAAACAACGTCAGCTTGAGTATCCTGCTGCACTGAATTGCAAAGGAAAGATCTGAGCTATCAAAAATTGTTATAAGATCTCCATCTGAAAAGAATATTTAAAAAGTTACATTAAAGCAAGGCCTATTCACTACTGAACTTAATGTTGGGGCAGAAGTGTTACTCTATTTCTATATAATGACATTCCCTATTTGATTCCAAAGCTACTAGAAAAGAGGCTACCAATTAACATTATCACTTACCATACCCCATTATGTGTATGAAGAGAAAACTGAAGATACAGAAGCAAAAACCAGAGGTTTTGCTCTGTGGTTACTAAGGAAGACTTAGTTCTGTGCTTCCTGAGCTACAATCAATTAGAAACACTTACTGTTGATTTAAAGGGCATTGCAGTAAGTTGGGTCAAAAGAAATATTTACAGAACGAGGAACTCTTTCCAAGAAAAATGAAGTCCTCAAAAATATTTCTTAGAAGCATCATCACAACAAAGCAGCAAGTTAGATTTTTGCAAAACACAAAAACATACCATTTTAATGCCAGGACCAGTGTGCAAAAAAATTATACACAGAAGTTAAGGCAGAATTATGAGTGGCTTCAGAAGATGGCCTACTGTGGTTAACGAGACAGAGACAAGTGGTCCTCCAGGTTTGGAGGGTAAGGAACACTGAAGCAGCTGGACTGGATATATTTCAATCTTCCTCATGATTGAAGCAGACTTAAATAATGACCTTAGCCCAGCTAAAACAAAAGGAAGAATACCACTGACCTCATACAGCAATCAAACTGAACCCCATTCTACTAACTCTTCCCTCAAACACGGCTGATGAAAATGTATAGCTTATAATGGTGACTGTGTTGAAAAATAGTGTTTTGTAGCTGAGAATTTGTTCTATCAAATAGTATTATTGTGCTCTTTCATAGAATCATATCACAGAATGGCCTGGATTAAGAAGGACCACAATGACCATGTAGTTTCAACCCCCCTTCTATGTGCAGGGTCACCAACCAGCAGACCAGGCTGCCCAGAGCCACTTCCAGCCTGGCCTTGAATGCCTCCAGGGATGGGGCATCCACAGCCTCCTTGGGCAACCTGTTCAGTGCGTCGCCACCTCTGTGTGAAAAACTTCCATGTAATATCTAAGCTAAACCTCCAGTCTGAGTTTAAAACCATTCCCCCTTGTCCTATCACTATCTACCCCTGTAAACAGCTGTTCCCCCTCCTGTTTATGAACTCCCTTCAAGTACTGGAAGGCCACAATGAAGTCTCCACAGAGCCTTCTCTTCTCCAAGCTGAACAATCCCAGTTCCCACAACCTCCTCTCATAGGAGAGGTGCTCCAGCCCTCTGATCATCTTAGTGGCCCTCCTCTGGACCCACTCCAAGAGCTCCACGTCCTTCCTGTACTGGAGGCCCCAGGCCTGGACGCAGTGCTGCAGATGGGGCCTTGGAAGAGCCAAGTAGAGGGGGACAATCACCTCCCGCTCCCTGCTGGCCAACCCTTTTTTAACGCAGCCCAGAACACAGCTGGCCTTCTGGGCTGCAAGCACGCACTTCCCGGCTCATGTCCAGCTTCTCGTCCACTCAGACCCCCAAGCCCTTCTTTGCAGGGCTGCTCTCAAGGAGCTCCTCCCTTAGGTTTCTATGGAATTAATAGGAGGCCTTACTTTCAGAGTAACCTACATATATGCAGCCCTAGATGATTCCTCTTCACTCAGTGTGACCCATGCAAGCTGAAAGGCTGGACACTTACAATCGAGTGCAACACACAACCTCGATATCACAGTGGAGAAGCAGTATATTCTGAGACAGAATAAGCAAAAATTAATGGTAGGAGGTGTCTAGGCTGTTACAGACAATTGAAGAATGAAACTGCAATTACAGGGCTTCAGTACACACTGTTATTTTTTCAAAACTGAAAAAAGCAACAGAGACATACATAAAAACAGAGAATTATACCTAAACAACAGCAAGAACACAAAAAAGGGATAAGATGCTCTAACCTCATGAGAAAGAATTCACCCACTTTCTTTTACCTTTCCCATTCCAGAAAGGAAAAATAATACATGATAAGACGAGAAACAAAACTACTGCAAATCCACACAGCTTCCTCCTAATACAGGCCAAGATCCCCAAAAAAGCTCATAACTGCATATCATTTTTTATGAGAAGTAGTCACTCTCAAACCTTTATAAAAGTGAAAAACTGTCTCTGAGTCATTCAAGAGTAGAGACATACGAACAAAGGTTACTTTACATTTTAGGTCCCACAGACAGTGCTAAAGCCATTAAGAAAGAATGAACCTGCAGGAACACAACACTTTTATTTACACATCACGAATACTATCCCCTCTGCCCTCTCTTCCACACTGACATTCCAAGATGAAAAAACCCTCAGGACCACAACAATCACTCCATACATCTCAAACAATGCATCTTGCATACTGTGAAAGTACTGCATAAAAGTCATTTTTTTAAGTCTAAAGAGAGCTTGTGTTAAACCATGTGTGCTAATTCAACTTTCACCCTTCAAATCCACCCTACCACACAAAAAAGCTGGTTCAATATGTAACTAGCAGAGAAATCTGAAACAGCATCAGCAGAAGAATGAACTTGTAGATTGTAGATATTCCAGAAACACTGGCAGAAATACTATGGTAATACAGCATAACCACAAAAGATAGATTCTACTAATTGAATCAAATCATTTTAAGAGAAATCATACACATTTGCCAACAGTATTTTAGAAAACTTTGTAAAGGCGAGTTGCACAGTTTCAGTTCTGTGTGATTTCTGGATAAATGGTATCAGAGCAACAGTAGTAATTACACCGCAACAGCAGTAATTAAACCTTACCTTCATCTTTATATTTTATTGTGACTTCATCGTTGCTCAGAAGTTTTCCTCTAAAAACTCTTTGCATCATTAATACTAACTCATCATAGGTGATATCCTCATTATGGATAGGAATTCTCCTAATGTCTTCACCAAGCTGAGCTTTTATGATCAGCTTCCCACTTAAGTCCAGCTGTCCATTCATGGTGGATTCTTTGTCACCTCCAGACCTATTAACAACAAAAACATTAAAAACATACTTTAGAGAACTAAATTGCTAACAACTTAAATGTGTCTGATGACAGTTCAGATGCTTTCCGTGCTCTAAAAAAGAAAACCTATTGAACCACCTAGAAAACCTCTCTCAAACACATTGTACAATGCACCAGTTTCTCAAACAACGAAGTAGATCACATGCATTCTGAGCTCACGGGCAAAGCACAGGTAGCTGGAGGGGACACAGGCAGGATAGCTGATCCAGCTTGGCCAAAGGGATGTACGTCCCAAACTGCATGGTGTTGCACTCAGAAAAGGGGTATGTTTGGAGGGAAGGCATTTGTCTTCCCAAGAAACCTTCATGTGTGGTGAGCTCAGCTCTACTATGGTTAGGCTAGCTTAACTATTAGGTTACTTAACACCCACCTCCCTGCTGATGGGAGGTAGTAAATGAATTCCTTGTTTGCTTCGCACATGACTTTATCTGTCTTTATCACAACCTATGAGGTTTCATACTTTTTCATTTGTGATTCTCTCCCCCATCCCACTTGGGGAAGATAAGCAAATGGCTATGTGGTACTTAGCTGCCTCTCATGGTTAAACTACAACAATCTTTTTGGGACCCAACCTAGGGAACAAAGGTTCCACAACATATGAGTGTGATGAGTGCACTGGACTAAATTTATACACATTACAGCTGTTTAGCTGCTAAGTGCTGTGATTCTGTGAAGTGACAGGCTCCCGTGCTCTTTCACAGGGATTATTTGCCTAACTGTATTTCAGAGTCCAGCACTTCTTAATGGCTGCTTTTGCTTCTGACATCTGGTCTACTCCTTATCATCTTGCTTTACTGTGTCTGAGAACATTCTGGAAACAACCATGCTCATGAACCTGGGCTGGAAGACGCAAAGGCATCACTGTTGTCCCCATGCTGCTCTACTGGATAGGCTGCGACTTCAGGCTGAACTCAAGACTGAGGAACTGCGACCTCTGCATCAGCCTGCACAGGAGAATGTGCCCTGAAATGTCGAGGGCCATGGGAATGTCCACTCTGGAGCAAGCACACCTCAAGGCAAGCAGAAGCCTGTGTTAAGTACACCCTGCAGTGCCTGTGTCTGCAGACAAAGCCATGCCAGAATACTTCAAAGCATTTGCGGCTGTGGATGAGATCGTGATACAGTGGTGTCTGAAGGGACCACGATCAATGAAAAGGCCATGACAGGGAAGGTAAGTAACTAGAGCTGTGGGTAAGTCCATGCTGCAGCAGGTATACCTCTGAAGAGGCTTTGGCCCACTACAAAGCTCACATCAGAAGAGGCAAACCTTGAAGCACCTTCAGGCATAGATATGTCCATGACACAATAGGTAGACCTCTATCTACTGGACAAGCCCAGGCTGGAGCAAGGGAAAGGATATGAGTTCACTTCAGTGTTAAATCCTATGGCCTGGTGAAAAAGGACACAGGATGGAGATTGTAATGGATATGTCTTCAAACTGTTGAGACCCTTTATGTGCGTTAAAGGAGGTACTGTAGAAGGAACCACACAAACAAGACAACAAGCCTCATGAGAAGCAGTATGTCCTGTTCACTGATGTCTTAGTGTGGGAAAGCATCAGAGGTGGAAGTCAGCCGTATGGAGTCCTGTGTAACAGGTAACAGAAACTGCTGAAGAAGTTGAATTTACAGAAGTGAAAACCATCTAGCTAGCTTTAGATATTACCAAGTGAGAAAAGTGGCCGGCATTCTACTTCTACACTGTCTCATGGATGGTGGCAAATACCCTGTGGGGATGGTTACAGCCGTGGAAGCAGAACAGCTGGCAGTACAGAGGCAAACCTATCTGGGCTGCTGCACTGTGGAAAGATACTGCTAATCAGGTAGAGAACATAGTTGTAAAAGCATGTCACGTACATGCCTTTGATAGATGTACTTGAAGAAAACAAAAACAATCAGCAGGTTGCTAGGATTGAAGCAGCCACAGCAAGCGTCACGCGCTTACAATGGTGGAAGCAACTAGATATCTGGAAACATATCGTGTGCCACATGCCACTGCCCAAAACACTACCCTGCGCCTCGAAAAGCAAGTCTTGTGGCAACATGGTACTCCAGCAGGAACTGAGTCAGACAACAGGACTCCTTTCCAAAACCATCTCACAGACACCTGAGCCAAAGAGCATGACACTGAGTGGGTACATCACACCCCCTACCTGGCACCAGCCTCCAGGAAAATCAAATGAAACAATGAGCTATTAAAGACTGCACTAACAGCAATGGGTGTTGGCACATTCAAACACTGAGGCATACGTTTAGCAAAAGGGATCTATCAATCAAGCTGGCCCTTCCCAGTTAAAACTCCCACACACTGTATAAGGAAATAAAATCCTTCTAGTGCACTAGGATGAAAACCATCCTGGGCCAGACAGCCATGGTTATCCTTCCCTCAGATGAAGGCAAGTCCATTCACAGGACTGCTTTCAGTCAAGGACTAAGTGCACTTAGTGGGTAATACAGAAGGATGGAGATGTTTGGTGTGTACCTAAAGGGGAATCTTATGTTCAGTGAGAACAGATAATAATTTAAAATGCGTTATGTTACTTGCTACATAATACTGTATGTGATGTCACCAAGATTAATACATTTTGATGGAACTGAGCAAAGTGCAGCAGTGACAGAGATAAATAAGCACAGTCAGAAACAGCTCCAGCATTCACCACCATACATTCTCCTGTCCTGAAAGACTGTTATGGCAGATGGAACCTGAAGTCATGGACAAAAGGAACACAAGGTACATTTAAGATGGATGTCCCATAGACTAAGGGAATGATGTGTGTGTATGTATATTAAAATACGGGAAAGATGGTATTCATTAACTGGGTCACGTTGCCAAGTATGTGAACAGAGAACAACATAGTTGATACAGAATAAAGAGAAAATACTGTTCTGGTTTCAGCTGAAATAGTTAATTTTCTTCTAGCTGCTACAGTGATGTGCTTTGGATTTAGGATGAGAATAACACTGAAAGCATACCAACATTTTAGTAGCTTGCTCTGGACATCGGACCCAACCTGGCCAAAAGGGATGTTGTGCTCAGCAATAAAAGCTGAAAGAAAGGAAAAAAGCTGGGGAGTGGGAATATTTGGAATGATGGTGTTCATCTTCCCAATTAACTGTTACATGTGATGAGCCCTGCTTTCTTTGAAGTGGCTGAGCATTTGCCTGCTAATGAAGCAGGAAGTAGCAAATTAATTTCTTGCTTTACTTTGTCTGTGTGTGTGGCTTTTGTTTTACCTAGCAGAATGTCTTTATCTCAAATCACAAGTCCTCACACTTTCCTTTCTGATTCTCTCCCCACTCTCACCACAGCAGCTGTGTGGTGCTGAGCAGAGACAAGCACCTACTGAACAAAACTCATTCTCTTAAGAGAATAAGAGGCAGGTGGATAAAGAGAAATTCAGTCTAACTGCAGAGAAAAGGGACCTTTTATTCACATGCATAGACACATGCACAGACACATGTACAGCCAGGTAGCTGCAGAGACAGTGATGAAATGGTGAAGTTCATAACAGTGTTAAAATCTGCTAATGCATTATACACATTTTACAAGTCTTGACTACAGGAACATCAACTCTGTTTCAGTTCTACTTTGTTTCAGCAGAAGTTGGTTTTAAAAGGTTTATTTGCAGAAGGCTTTTTAGAACAAAATTAGCATAAAACACTAAATAGCATCCATACCCAGGTCTTCTTTCATGTTTTTTACTAAACACGCACTTAGCAATAGGTTACCTTGTCTGTTTTACTGATGCTGGTTATTGGTCAAATTTCCCACCTCACTTCAGGACAGAGTTAGGATAAGCCGCCATGCACTGTCAGTGGCAGAAAACAGGAAGCTGCATCAGAAAAAAATTAAAAAAGCTTTATTTACTGTCAAACTTCCTTAAACACTTCCACTCTAAAACATTTTAACAAATGTCCCCAGTTACAAAAATCCATTACTTTATCATATGTAACAATCACATTTACACTTCTGAGTATGGTGCAGACTGAGGTTCAACTAAAACGGATCTTGAACAAGAGTTTTAATTTCATAATTGAGGAAAGAACGGTGTTTGTTTTTCTAAATTTTTAACTGCATGTAAGAGCAACGTGTTCCTTTTTTAGAAGGATAGTGATCTTCCCCACTGGTCTTAAAATGCTCATATGGCTCATATGGCTTAAAATGCTTATATGGCCTCCAACTTAAAACCCCAGGTGAAGTTTCATTAATTACTTAAATCTAAGATAAACTTACACTGATTTAGCACTATAAAAACCTAGAAATCCATTTCTGGAGCCTCTGTAGCACTAAGTGGTACGTCCTCCAGGCAGCACCAGGACAGACACCTACCAGCAGTAACACATTCCCACAAGCAGAACCACCAAACTGGGCAATTTTACATTACAGTCAGAAACAGTGCATAAAAATACTATCTACGCCCAATCCAATTTAAAAGTCTGTTTTTTCCACTGAAAAGAATGCAGTGAGCTCCCTGACATTCATGCAGCCCATCTCTTATTACACATGCTCATCGTCCAGAGCCAAAAGATGGTGATTTACCATACAAACTAACTCAATGAAAACATAATTCCCTCCCAACTGTTTCAGGTTCAAAAACAGGCAATAAGGCTTGTGAAGGGCTGGAGAATATGCCCTACGAGGAGAGACTGAAGGAACTGGGGCTGTTTAGTCTGGGGAAGAGGAGGCTGAAGGGAGATCTTATTGCTCTCTTCCAATATACCTGAAAGGTGCTTACAGCAAGAGCAGGGTTGGTCTCTTCTCACTGGTGACAAGATGAGGGAAAATGGCCTCAAGTTGTGCCAGGCCAAGTTCAGGCTGGATATCAGGAACTTCTTTACAGAACGGGCTGTTAAGCACTGGAATAGGCTCCCCAGGGAGGTGGTTGAGTCACCATCCCTGGATGCGTTTAAAAACCATTTGGATGTGGTGCTCAGGGACATGATTTAGTGGAGGGTTGTTAGAGTTAGGGTAGTATGGCTAGGTTGTGGTTGGACTTGATGATCTTGAACGTCTTTTCCAACCTGAGTGATTCTATAATTTTATGTTAGGGGTACTCTATACTCTCCTCTGTCTCATACACACATGGTTAATCTCTCATGATTTGAGTTTTAGACAATTTTATGGTAAACAGTGGGGAAAAGTGTGATCTTCTCACCCCTATGAAAGTGGTCTTCCCAGCTCTCTTCTTCCTGCTCAGCTTGGGAAAGCTGCAACAGACAGACATGAAGAGCATAGGGCTGACACACAGCACAAGCAAGCCCAGGAGAATGGACAAAGGCCTTCCCCAGTCCTTCAGGCTGGTGACTGCTCCCCTCCCTCCTCCATAGTATGAAATATCCACCTCTGCAGAAGGCTGGGCTCACTAACAGGGAGATGGTAAGGCTGTGGTGACACACCAGGCAGGTGAACAAGACAACACTGCTTTTCTGACTCCTCACGCCCACTTTGGGAAAGGAGTAACACACAGAGATGGGGCCACTCTTGCTCTGATCTCGCTGCAGCTTCAAGTACAATTTAACGCCCTGAACAAATGCAGAAAATGCATCTACAAGTGGATTAAGAATTCACTTAGGCTTGCACCTCACACAGCTTAAACATCACAGCTGGGCACAGATTTGGCTTCCTTAGCATTACGGTGCAGTTCGAAACTGACAATAGTAAGAACAGAACCTCATCAGTCATTCTGCAGCCACGTTTCAGGGGACACACCTGAGCAACTGTGAGCCTTTGGAATGCATCACTCGTATCTGTGCTTGCTGCTACAACATACTTATACGATTACACTGTCTTACTCACTGACATCACGCACAGAAATACACTGCAAGTCTAGCGAAGAATAGGAAAAGATAACAGGAAAACACTAAAATGCACTTTTTTTTAACTTTTTTTTTTTTTTTTTTTTCTTCCCCAAGTGTTCTCCCCAAGTGCTCGGCTTGGGGTGAAAGAAAGGAGATCCCCAACACTGCACCTGCTTACAGCCGTCGCAGAGAACGACCCGAAACGTTTCAAGCACAGAATCGCACAGCGTTCCGGCCTCCCTCCCACAACGTGACACAGCTAGATGGATCACCGCTCCCCAGCCGCAGCGAGGCAGGCCCGGAGGAAGCAGCGGAGCGGAGGAACCAGCCGCCGCGGCTAAGCGCGGGCCGGGGCCTCCCTGAGGCACGGCCGGGGGGACGCGAGGGGTCTCCCAGCCCCTCTGTCAGGGGCCGCGGAGCCGCGGAGCCGCGGAGCCCCGGAGCCCCCCGGCCCGACGCCCCTGCCGCCGCCCTCACCCGCCCCGCAGCGGCTGGCCCCGGGGCGACGAGGGGAAAGGAAGCGGGTGAGCCCGCTCTCTTACTCTGGCTCCCGCGTGGTCCCGGCGGTGGAGGCCCAGACGCGTTCCGAGCCCGGACTCGACCACAGCCACCCGTACGTGGCAGAGGAGAGAAGGGGCGGCCGGAGCGCTGCCGCTGCCGGGCCTGCGCGCTGCGTCCGCATGCGCACTAGGGCCACCGGGCCGCCCAGGGCCACAGCACACATGCGCCGAGCTGGTCGCCGTGGCCGCCGCCACGCGGGGAGAGGGAGGGGACGATTCTGGTGAGGTGGCTCGGTCTCTGGCATTCAAGGCCGGGCTGGATGTGGTTCTGAACAGTCTGATCTGGTGGTTGGCGACTCTGCACGTAGCAGGGGGTTGAACTAGCTGATCATTGTGATCGTTTTCAACCCAAGACATTCTATGATTCTAAGAGCTGCTGCGGACCTGAGATGAAGAGCAGGTCCAACTGTAGCCATAATGATGGGAAATGGTGGTTCAGCCAGAGCAGAATGGCTTTGACGCATGTAGGATGGCACTGCTGGGATGGAAAATCAGTTGTGAAGCGCCACCCTGCTTGTGGCACAGAGCCACCATCGATGGAGAGCCTGCGCCTCCACAAATAACTCAGAATCATTAAGGTGGGAGAAGACCTCTTAGTCCATCTTGTCCAACCGTCAGCTCAGCCCCACCATGCCCACTAAACATGTCCCTCAATGCAACATCTGCACAGCACATGAACACTTCCAGGCGTGGTGATTCCATCAACTCCCTGGCAGCCCGTGCCAATGCCTCACCACTCTTTCCGAGAATAAATCTATCCTAATATTCAACCTGAACTTCCCCTGGTGCAACTTAAGGCCATGCTTTCTCCTCTGAAATTGTTGCCTTGAAGGGGTGACTGGTAGCCATCTTGGCCATAGTGAGCATGAAGTAGTTGAGTTACAAATCTTTGGTGGCAAGAGGAAAACTGCCAGTGAAACTTCAACCATGGATGTGGGGAGAACGGACTTGAGGCTGCTGAAGGATATAGTTGACAAGATCCCTTGGGAAAATGCATCTGAAGTTAATGGGGTCCATCACTGCTGGTCACTTTGTGTGTAGGCAAAGAAAGATAGAGCAAGATAATGGAGTGATACAAGAGGCCTGGTAGATAAGTATGAGAAAAATAGGAATAATTTGGCCATTTCAATGTAAAGAAATATGTATCATCTCTTCAGTTTTAAAAACATAAGAAAGAGGCCTGGAAGACAGGACTTTTCTGTCCATTACAAATAAAAGACAATACCAGACAATTCATAGAATCATAGAATGGCCTGGGTTGAAAAGGACCACAATGATCATCTGGTTTCAACCCCCCTGCTATGTGCAGGGTCACCAACCACCAGACCAGGCTGCCCAGAGCCACATCCAGCCTGGCCTTGAATGCCTCCAGGGATGGGGCATCCACAGCCTCCTTGGGCAGCCTGTTCAGTGCGTCACCACCTTTTCACCAGAAAAGAATGCCTTAAAGATAAATATGTTAGGAAAGCACAAGTTAGTGTCCACCATTAGGATGTCTGCTCTGAAGCTGAAGGCCCAACAGAACACTTGCAGTGTCTGGCTGTCAGCATGGGCAACCTGTTCAGTGCGTCACCACCTCTGTGAAAAACTTCCTCCTGATAGCTAACCTAAACCTCCCCTGTCTCACTTTAAGACCATTCCCTCTTGTTCTATTCAATCCTCCTCCAAAACATTCCTTTGATAACACAGGAGATTTTTCCCTGTTTTAACAAGGAGAAACTTCCTGAACTGAAAGCACACATATCACAAAGAATACCAAAGTTCACCACATTAAGATTAATATATTCCACATGTATAGATAAGAGTCGAACTATTGAGCCTACAAGAATCAAGCATATAACCTGAAAAGTCTAAATTTTGCTTTGCTTCAGTTCTGCAATTAAGATTCCCTGGATGAGAAAAAATAATAATAATAATGTTTATAATTTTCAGTATTTTTAATGCTGAAAATGTTTTCTGTTTGTTCTAACATCCTCAGTACTTGCTCTAGAGTGTTTTGCTAGTATCAGAAAACATTCAAAACAGTATGTTTGATGTGGTTAGTTAGTTAGTATTGTCAATCCAATACTGTATATTCTTCAGTTGTAATTTTTGTGTGTTTGGTTTTTTTGTTTGTTTGTTTTCTGTGGGTTTTTGTTTTTTTTTTTGCTTTTCTTTTTTGTATAATATTAAAATAACACATTTATTAAGCTTTTTAAAAGTTCTGTGTTCAAAATTAAATGGGATTTGGAGAACAATTTTTGTGGGGGAAAAAAAATCACAGACAAGAAAGTGTCATTACTCTTTGAAGCAGCCACCTTTACAGTATCCAGCTGCTTTTGACAGCATGATCTAAGATCATCCTTCCTAAACCATGTAATAATTTCTAAAATACTTTTTCTTTAACGAAGTTGAAGGAATCCGCAAAGGCAGGCATTACAAATTGGATTTGTAAGTATATATATGCAACCTGAAACATACGTAACCAGTGCAAAAGAAAAAAAAAAAAAGTATCGATTACCTTTCCTTTCCTAGATAAGGTTTACTGACCTTTGGCTTTCTGGAGCAATGGTGATGAACTTCAGCCTTGTATCTGATAGCTGGCTCTTTTGGAGGCTTATTAATGGGGGAAGCTGGCCATGCTTGTTCAAGCAGGTTATGAAAACCTGATGTTTTCAAACATGGTGTTCATTTTTTATTTTTTTTTAAACCAGAGATAGCAAAGCATACAAATATATTTGAAAAAAGTGATAACGTTTTTTAAAATTACCTGTCTACATTTCTCAGGCTTTTTTTTCTTCACACAGAAGAGAATGAGATTGTCAGAACATTTACTCCCGTTTGTTAGGCAAGAGCCCTCTACAGTGGGCTTTAGAACTTTGCTCAAGGTCACAAAGGGAGAAGAGCTGCTTATTCCTCTGCCAAGCTCCCCATGACACCAAAGGACAGACAGGCAGAAAGAAAGGTGCAGCCAAAAGCCAGAGTGTGGCTGAATGCTGGCTGAAGTACCCCAGCTAGTATCTAGCAATACCTGTATACATCCAAAAGGGAACAGGTGTCCTAACGTAGGCAAATGCTGGGGTGATGTGAATAGGACCTAGGTTATATATTTATAAAGAATTTCTTTTCTAGCTTGTTTCTTCAAGTGCTTAACTTTTTTTCTTTTTAATTACTTTTATTTTCTCATAGGAAAACAGAATATTTTATCTAACTAGTATTTAAATTGAAGAAGTTCTTGTTGCAAAATTTTAAAATATTCTAAGATACAGATTTTCTTCTGTAAAAGCAGTTGTAAATTCAACATTTTATGGAGGTAGTGCATATAGTTTGGACTCAGAATCAGTAAGAAATGTGCATTTGATTTACCTTCTGGTAAAGGTAGATTAATTTTTTTATTAAATTAAAATTGTTCTTACAAAAGGAAGAGAAGAACTATGTTACATAGGCTAGGTAAACATGTTGAACTGGTCTGAGAAATGAAAAAGACATAAACAGAGCAATTTGTGTATGTCTGTACTGTAACACAAATCTATAATAGCCTCCTTTCAAAGACCTTCCTCTGTTGCCTGCAGTGCAAGTGGTATCAAGATGTACCATTGTGTTACCTCTGCACAATAACACACATGGAGTTCTGCTTTTTGCTCCTACTGTTCTTGTCTTAAGATCTATTCCAAGCTACCTGCAGTTGGAACAGTATGTTTGTCATTCAAGATACCAGTGAAATCTACATAAAGCAAGCCACGAAAAAAAAAAAAAAAGCAGAATTATATTTAATATATTTACAAGTTTCTAACAGCCATTAGGGAGAGTGGACAAGGAAATATTTTCTGTAGAAATTTCAGATTACCTGAAAATTCCTTGGGAATGCTTTGCAGGCTGTGATTTTGAAACATGCTAAATTTCTGAATGCAGATAAATTTGTATCCCTGATACCCTCAAAACAGAAAACACTTCAGAAACTTTTTTCTTGAAGATTGGTGATCTGAAAGTGTACAGAATACAAATCTGAAGTCCCTATGGGGAAAAAAAAAAAAAAAAGAAGAAGCACATCATTGATGTTTCATTGATAAAACTAGAAGACATTAGGTGGTATTTTTTGACCTGAAAAAAATATCTACAAAATAGTTTTCAGCAACCATTAACAATGACATTAATATTTTGAAATACAATTATTTCTTTAACTGGGACAATGGTTTCATGTTACTACGAAATTGCAGCTATAGTTACCTCATTTGCACATTGTGAATTACTCCTATAGTGAATTCATAGTGAATTAGTTAATATGTCTTCTAATGAATGGAATGAATGTAAGATTTGCCTGACTCTTAAGCAATAAATGTGACTGGTGTACCCTATCGTCGTTTTCAGCAGACATATGTGGAGGCAAAGCAGGACTGCAAAATTTCTGTTCTGAGTTCTCAAGAGAATCCTGAAGGGGAAGGAGGGAAAACAAACAAACAAAACCCTAATTCTTTGAAACAGATTTGTATTCTGTCTCTGTTCGTGATTTCAGTTTTAAATCACAGAATGATGTAATCACAGAGTCATAGAATGGTTTGGATTGGAAGGGACCTCAAGGATCATCAATTTCCAACTCACCTGCCACAGGCAGGGTTGTCAAACACTAGACCAAGTACTTGATCACATTGTCCAAGGCTCCGTCCAACCTGGACTGGAACATCTCCAGGGATGGGGCATTCAGAACCTCTCTTGGCAGCCTGTTCCAGCACCTCACCACCCTCTCTGTGAAAAACTTCCTTTTGACATCTAATCTAAATTTTTCCCTCCTTTAGTTTAAAACCATTCCCTCTTGTCCTATTGCTATCTACCCATGTTAAAAATGTCAAAAAAATCACTGTATCCGTTAGTATAGTAATAATTGTATCAGGAACTTCTTGCAGGGAGAGTTTGCAGATCTGATCCCCACTGGTATGCAGAGTCTCAGTTTTCAGTAAATCAAGACAGTGAACAACTTTAGATTTAGGGGTGAAGGAACTGTGGGAATTGTCACATATGTCCAGTTAGCTGTTTTGCAGAAAATATTTACTAATATATTAATGAAGTATCCACTATTTCATGTACTTAATATGCCTTATATGAGTACAAAGCCAAGAATTCTTAAGGTCTGTGTTGCTCCTGGGGGAAAACAAGGTAGATGCTTTCCTGTAGGCTTTTATTCAGAATCTGTGAAAGTTCTGAAGGCATAAATCTCTAGTTACTTTCCTGGGATGCTTTTCCACAGCTGACAAGGAAGTTTTTACCTGATATACACTCTGAATATCACATTGCTTTGGAGACCAGAAGCATAGCACCCCTGCCTAAAAAAAAGTTCTGAATCTGTGTTCCACCAGGTCCTCCACTCTACCACCATTCATTCAACAAATGTATCAGAGATGTTTGTTGTTTGTTTTTTTTTCCAATGTCTAAATTGTTAGTCTCAGAATTGCCAGATACTTTACCTGTGTAGCATTAAAAATGCAGAACATATAGCTGAAAAAAAGATTCATTTCCTCATGTCTTATTAGCATGAGGTAGCCAATCATCCAGGTGATTCCAAGCATCACTACTATAGAGATAGTGGCAGTCATCTTTTTCATGAGTGAATCCTTTTTATTCCTAAAAAAACACACGCACAAAAAAAATTCTCCATATAATTTAATCTCTTTTTGAGGTTAAACTTTCTATTTTACTTACTAAGGGCTATATTGCAAGTATCTGTTACTCAGCTGAGTTGAGAACATACATCTTACTTTTGGTTGGGGTATCATCCAGGAAATAAATTGAGAATAAGAAATCTGCCCACGCTTGTATGAATAATCTGTCTTTGGAATATCTAGTGTGGCTGTATATTTCTTTGATTAAAATGTGAGGTTTACCAAGGCAGCATGAAACACTGAAAGTTAGCATGTTAGCTATGATAAGCTTTTTAGAATAACTTCACTCCTAATGTTCACAGTTTTCAGTATAAGAATTAGCTGCCGTTAAAATTTGGATATCCAGTATTTCTGAAGCCCATGAGGAGTCAGAGAGATGGTATTTTGGTCTACTCCAACTATTAAAATTGTATGTTAAAGGAATGAAGTGCAGAGCTTTGTTGAATAGGTTAGTTCTTTGAGATTAGTAAACAGTAAAGCATAACCGTATTGAAGCAAAGTTGAGTAACATGGCAACCAAAACCAAAGTGGTGGTGGTTAGGGGGGAAGCCTGCAATGTGCTCATTTATGTAAATGAGAAAATCCTGACCCACTACAGCAGTGGAAATTATTCTCTAACTGCTTTAAGTGTGTATTGCTTTAAAACAAATTATTTTCTCAAAAATCTGACTTTGTAACAAGAAAGTCTGAGCTCTTAATAAGAGATTGAGGAATATATATTCTGAAAGAGCCGAGGAATTCTATGCCACCTCACCTTGTCAGATTCTTGTTCTCATTCCATATTACAGAAACAATGATCTTGATGAAGATGATAATGTTAAAGAGGAGTACAAATGCTACTGGCAAAAGGAAGGACCAGAACATGGGTTTTTTCATGCTGAAATTCTGATTTTGATCCAGGGCTGCAAGCCAGCAACTTTTAATACAAAGTGAGGCAGTTTCAAAAGATTTGTTAGGCACATTGTTCAATGCACCAAAACAAAACAAAACAGTTGGCTATTTTTTATCCTGAGGGACCCCTTTGGTCTTTCTAGCCCTAGCCTGTCTCTGAAAAGCGATCATTCCTCAACAACAGGGTTTTCAAACACGTTTCTTTGGGAAATGGCCAGTGATTTATCAAATAAACTGCAGAGGTAAATATTGCAAAGCGGCATATAGCTAACCAAATAGGTATCTGTCTGCCATATACAAGTTTAGAGTGAATATTATAATAAATCTGAAGAGCAAAAGGAAAAACTTTACAGACAAAGGTTGAAACAAAAGCGGGAGCAGATTCAGGAGGATGAGGTTACCCTTCAATCATATTTATTTCCTTTTTTTCGTTGACAAATAATTGCAAGCTAGATGTCAACACTCTCTATATCAGTACAATGAGATGACCACCACAGAATCATAGAACAGCTTTGTCTACCCTTATATAATTATGTGGAAGGGTGTTTGTATTTCTGAAATGTGTTTTCTCTGTATCATACACTATCACCAAGGAGCACTGCAAGTCTATAGCCTGCTCTGGGGTGCTGGCATCCAGATGAATGCAGATATGAAAAACACACAGTATTAAGGCATATAGTTACACCCACCACAAAGATTTTAAATAAATCAAAGGACTACATTTAAGTACTGAAATGCAGTTATGCACTTAAATGAAGGTCTTCAATTTCAGCTTCTGTAAAACTGTCAACAACTCCCATTTAAAGCCACAGGAGATCTTGCAGGAGGATTCAGGGCAGATGTAAATCCAGCATCCCACACTCTCAGTGAGAAAAAGCTGCAGTTCCTTACAATGAAAGTTAAGTTTGAGTAGAGAATTTTGCTTTTTTTTTTTTTTAGTAGAGGCACTTAAATATACAAAATAATATACTAACAATAAACCTGGAATGGTATTAATAATAAGCCATCACATAAGGTATACGATAGCAGGTATTGTAATGACACAAACTTACAATTCTTCCTGTCAGTAGTTTAAAGCTTTCCCTTCTTCATAAGTAGCTCCAAGTGTTATTGCAACTACTACAGCAGGGACCCCTAATTAATAAGAGAGACACTGGTTTGCTATTGTTCAGTTGCACAGGTGTGCCTTATCTCTATTCTACATAAATAACTTCTTGTCTACCCCCTCCTTCAGCCCTGCTGTAGATCTTCCAGACTGCCAACTATTGGCTGTGCTCTCAAAGTCTGAAAAGCAGTGAGTCAGAATTGTGCTCTTTCGGAAGCGCAAATAGTATCAGGACAATGAAGAACCTAATGCTGGAGAACAGTGATGTATTGCCAGGCAGCTTTCACTGAACATTTTCTGAATTGCATGTGCAGTCTAAATTCTAGAAGTTTTAGAGAAATTGTCTCTGCCTCCACCCAAATGCAAAAAATAATAATTAAAAAATCAGGCTCTGAGCTGCTTGGTAGATGCCACTGGAAACAACATGCTGAATACACAATGTGGAAACGGCAGGTAGTCTTGTGTACTGTATTATTTTTTACTTTATCTCCTGGGCATCTAACTGCATTCTTCAGTCCTCCAAATAGTTTCCTTTCAGCTTGCTGCGTTGCTGCTAATTGGTATTACTTTTTTAAGAATGCACTCTTATTAATACATAATATTGTATTATTACATAATATTGATACATAACATTAGTATTATTAATATTAATATATCTCAATATTATTACGTAATAATAATACATAATATGTAACAAATTATGTAAGTCAGCCCATGCTTTTGGATGCATGCAAGGCTCTGGTGGAGGTCATGAGGCATCTCAGAGAGAGCTCAGTTAAGCATTTGAGTCTATAAATGCAATCACTGTATCTGAAAAAAAATAAAAAATCCTGTAGTTGACAGAAACTGATTGTTGAATGCCTTGAGTATTGTGAAGATTTCTCCTGCATGCAGTAGACGTATGTTGCTGTGCTGGTGAATGAGCTCTTGTTTTCAGTGCTGTATCAAGGCAGTGAAAACAAGCTTAGCTTATAGCAGTTGAGTAAACTGTAACAGGGGATTATTTATTAAACCATATTGTCTAAACCAGAGATAACAGTTCCTCACTACTGATCTGCTATGTTACACCTCTCTCTGTCTGTACTATGTACCTATACTTTGGTAAGAGTTGGAAGTATTTGCAACTTTAAATCTTACCCCATCCGATTGCTGACATGGTTACAATGAAATGTCCAGGAAAGGGTTTCATGGTTCTAAGCAGCAGTAAGTATAGTTGTGCAGAATTGAGTGCTGTCCACATAAACGTTGCCAACAAAAAGTAGTGCAGCAGGACAGCCACAACCATGCACCAGGCATCTATATAATTGATTGCATTCTTAGTTTTCTACATTTTTTTATCATGAAAGAGTAACATGATTTTATAGCTGTGTCACAATTGTGCATTTAATACTGAATAATTTATATATTTTTTAAAAGCTGTGAAATCAGTTGAACCCTCTTGAGAGAGGTGTTACAGGCATTATGATAAAGACTGTACATGATCACACTAGTTTTCCACAGGATCATTATCTACATCAGTGAGCAGAATGGATGGTGATCTGTTAATGAGCTCTTCCACATTTGTTTTATTCTCGTTGCTGTGTATGTGAGGCTACCTTTATCTCCTTGACTCTTTTCTATCTCAGATGAGAGGACTGCATTACTCATTTCCCTGTGGGTTGGTATATGAATGACGTTCAGCAATTTGATGTCTAAGTGATTAGCAAATTTCCCCTTCATTATACTCTTGTGTTATGATGTCTAATGTTACTGTCACTAAACAGAGAGAATAAGAACACGCCTGCTGGTTTCAGGTACTCAGTCTGAAACTCCTGCAGTTTTAGCACGACATAGTCGCAGCTGTACATAATCAGTGTTCTGCCAAATCATACACAACGAACAAAATTGGACATGCAGAAAACAATTGTCCTATAACTAGCAGACAGGTGTTGTGTGCCTGGTAAGAAGGGTAGGACTATAACTTGCCCGAGACTCCCACTGCAGGTTAACTCATCATTAACCCTTGCCAGCAGCTTCAGTGGAAAATGAGGAACTATACCTTTACAAGCACTGCAGAGTGTACATAATGGGCATCTGGAAAAATCCTGCATGCCTTTGAATACCATCACGACACACAGATGTGAGAACCTGACAGTAGTAATAATTTCAGTTGAAATGGCTGATGACTTTGTATTTCAGACCGGGTATGTATGTACTAGATTTTGAACTTTATGTCTGCAGAGATTTGGTCAAAGATTCATTATGTTCTGGATTTTTAGAAAACAAAAAAGTGGAGGAGGGGGGTGGAAGAAAACAAACATGAAAAGCTTTCTGGCCATTACAGGTACATCTGCATTAATCTATAAATAAGATCATCTAGCTCGTTTGACATGTGCGTTTTTGTGCCATTATATATGGTACCAATATACATTAAAACATTGTTAGAAAAAGTTTACATTCAGGTTCAGTTTTTTTTTAAAGTTATTTCCAAAGCATGTTTTTTAGGGAATATTCATTCAAAAGGTACCAGGTTTAGGTTTCAGTAGCTGAAAGAACTTACTGTTACTTTTAATATTGAGCAGTATCTGGACTTCAGTACTGAGTTCACTAGTAAGCCCAGGGACGTTTTCCTGTATGTCTAGTCTTGTTGATGGAAAATATGACAAGGTTGTATCTGGAAAAATAAACAACATCTGCATTAGAATTTATGGTACATACCTCCTTCTCCTTGTAAATCTAACAACGTGCCCAAGCTTACCTCTCTGTGCCAAAGACAGAACTGTAGAGGAGTTCAATTTCAGTGGAACAGACTGGGCTGCAACACTGGGCTGAGTGACGTTGCCCATCAAAGAAAATTCTTCCATTGTTTTTGTGAGACTGCAATACAATAATGAGCGGAAAAAAGTCACTTCTAGTTGTCACAAGCAGCCATAGGCTCAGCTCCCTATCTGATTTGATTGTCTGGCATGTCAGGTAGAGTGAAGAGGCTGTGCGTGTTCTCTCTAAGAACAGGGAAAATTCTGTACTTTTGAAGTCAACAGAAACATTGCTTTCTAACATCAGGAGAAGCAGGATTCAGTCATACATGCACCTGGGAATGGGGGCAGTGTGAAATCTGGCATACAGTCAAGTATGAAACAGCTTGTTAAGTAAGTCAGAAATTTCTAACAAGCGCAGGAAGTTTGTCCTTTGTGGAGAGGGTGTTGGTAGCTTTCTCTTTCCAGGAATTGCAATAATACTTCAGACTTCTGTGAAGTGCAGTGAAATAAAACGGAAATGTTTTTAAGTGGCAGAATACCAGCTAGTAGGTTAGTCCACCATGTAAACCCCTATCTGTCCACAGGTAGTACTGTGAAACTTGAATAATTTGCCAAAACTGCTGATGACCAACCAACCAAATTGGAAAATTCCAAAAGTCTCCACTTCTCTGTCCCCATTCTTTATCCAAAGCAGGAAAAGTCAGCCAAAACTGTTGGTGTAAATTTGCTGAACCAATCAAATTGTACACTGGAGTTGAACACTGAAGAAGCCTTGGTACCTTCATGATGATTTTCATTCTGAAACACAAGGGAAAATGCTGTTTGCTAGATCTAATCAAAAAGGGCAAAAAAGGGCAAAGGCTGAGGTTACCTTGCTGTAACATTGACAAGATTATTGTCATTGAATTCTGTTTTGTTGGCATCTAAGAGCTGACTTACTATAGTCAGAACTGCCACAGATGCCTGAGTCAAGAAGAAAAAAAAAGAGTACTGTTCAAAAGCAATTAAAATAAAGAATCCCTTGCTTTACAGTGAGTGTCCGACTTTTTTGCTTGCCTGAATCATACTGAATGAAGAGGAATTATCTTGGGCCACATATAAAATATATACTAAAGTTAATGTATATAAATATAAAAACTTTTTCAAAACTTAAATTCTTTATTAAAACATTGAAAAGAAGAGAAATAAAAACATAAAACTAGGGGGGGTCGGCATGTATGTGATATCTACATAGTGCACTGGCAAAGTAAGAATGCAGTAGACATCTCTTGAAAATACATGCTCCACATGCTGTGGAGTAAACAAAATAAAGGGTGTAACTAGAGAGAATATAAGCTTAGAGCCAGTGGTTCACATGTACCACACTTTTATTAACTTAGACAGAGAAGATTAAATGATGAATTTAAACATCAAATGATGCTAGTATTAGAATTCCAGATATGGGCAAGTCCATATAACTGATAAAACCAAATTTACATTCTGCTTTGGGAACTGAAGCAGCCGTGAATCCACAAAAATGCACTCAGGGCCACTGGATCACTAAATGGCAAAATGGATGCATTCAGTTGTGTTGTTATGTAAAGTTAATTGGAAGCACACTGGAGAGAGTTCCTTGTGCTGACGGAGGAGAGAGAGAATCCGTATCCCAAATATTAAGCCATTAAAAACTTTTTTCTGTCCTATTAATGCTCACCTGAGTATCTTCTGAAACATTTGGTTTTCTTAGAGTCTGCACTGCAATATTCGCAGCAGCAGAGATGTCCTGCGTTGTCAGTCGACTGGGAATGGAGGTAAGGATCTGAGGATTACTTGCAATTGCTGAAACACTGCTGGTGTCTGGAGTTTCCACCTGCCAGGGAAAAGCCATTCAGCAGAAAGAAAATAATAAAAGGAAAAAAGAATCACCATTTTCATAATATTCTTACATAAAATCAAATTATACATGTAGAAAAAGGGGACTCTGACGATGTCTTTCTCCACTTCTTCCTAGCAGGTGACTGCAGGCAGTAATAAGGCCTCCTTGAGCGTCTGAGTTTGCAAACTTCTGTCTGCCTTTCACTATCCCTTGAACAACCAGAACTGGATTTTTTGAAAAGCCACCTGAAGAACTAAGAAATGTTATTCAGAATAGCAGTGCGTCTTAGCGCAGCACTAAAAAGCTGCACTGAGGACATAGTCCTCACTTCAGCACATTGTAGGGCACTGAATTGGTATAAACATAAAAAAGGAAAAGATATTCCAGTGCTGGGGGTAATAACAAGAATTTTTAGAAGCTCTGGATGGATCTGGATGGAATCAGTCACTTCAATGTGCAGGGCATAAATATCTGTAATATCTCAGGCATGCAAACATACACAAAATAAGGCACTATCTGTACATTACATGAAGGCATAGCTGGGTGACAATAAGATTTAAGGGTGTGGAGAAGGTGCTAATCATCAGAAGAGTATTTTTCATAGGTTATGGAGATTGACAGTGCACCAAGTCATCCCTTTTCTAAACCGCTAAAAGCTGTCAAAAACAAGTTCAATTAAATCATGCAAATTTGAAGTTTCTACAGCTCAGAGTGGTAGGAAAGAAAGGTTAATGTGTTGCATAGGGAGGAAAGACTTCTTTATCTGTAATTACCAGGGATTTACTATTGATACTTGATAACATCAGGATGTGCACCACGTACGTTGTGAACACGTATGCCACTGTTCTGAATTGTAGCATCACTTTGTATTCATGCTAAATATTTGCACTGCCAGGAATAAAGCCCTTTTAAATCCGGCCTGTGGATCACTAGGATAAACATCTCTTTGACTCCTAGCATGCTATCTTCAGAACCTGGGCTGGTCTAGGTTCACTAGATGGCAGTACAACGTAAAAAATCATAACAAAACTCAAAATCACTGATAGCAGCAGAACAATTTTATTTTTGCAACCAAACATATACCTGTATCTTATTAGTATTATAAACAGCTGCTACTAATATACAAATATGTTGCTGCCCAGATAGGCTATGGAGTCTCCTTCTCTGTAGATATTCAAGAAGCTTTCCTGTGTGACTTTCTGTAGGGAATATGCTTTAGCAGGGCATTGGACTTGATCTCCAGAAGTCCCTTTCAACCCCTACAGTTCTATGGTTCTATGATTCCATGATTCTGTGATATTATTATGCAGAAGATTTTACTTGTGATCCATTTAATGAAAGTTATACACTGGGAAATTATCTTAGTCTCAAGGATTCAAGCAAAAAAAAAAAAAAAAGTCTAATGAATAATCATCTCTCCTAGAACTGTAGCTGGTATCTTTTTCTTTTTCCTTTTTCCTTTTTCAGTTGGAACTTGTAATAGGGAATAGAAGAGTAGAAGCAGAAGAGGAGCAGTTGCCGTTTGTAACATGCATAATTGTGTTCAGTGCCCTATGTTTTGGGGTATGGTAGAGCTAAGCCTTAAAACAAAGCATAAGGGTTTATGGTTTTATCATGAGCAGCTTATCATTCATCGAGTTATTGAGGGACAAGAGTGTTTCATCCATGCTCAACTTTTCATGGGATTGAATGGAGATGCTTTGCTCTTAATGAAGAAAGGCTGAGTGAACTGGGTCTGTTCAGCCTTGAGAAAAGAAGGCTGAGAGGGGACCTGATCCAGGTCTATAAATATCTAAGGTGTGGGGGGCAGAATGGCGAGGCCGGACTCTTTTCAGTGGTGAGTGGAGACAGGACAAGGGGAAACAGCCAGAAGCTGCAGCATAGGAAGTTCCGCACAAATGTGCACAAGAACTTCTTTACAGTGAGGTGACGGAGCACTGGAACAGGCTGCCCAGGGAGGTGGTGGAGTCTCCTTCTCTGGAGATGTTCAAGACCTGCCTGGATGCCTACCTGTGCGACCTGCTGTAGGGAACCTGCTTTGGCAGGGGGGTTGGACTCGATGATCTCTGGAGGTCCCTTCCAACCCCTACAATTCTGTGTGATTCTGTGTGATCCTGTGTAATCCTTCCTAACAGTGTTAGCACCACTGTGTTCTCTCCCACTAGTCTTCTTGAAATCCCTTCCAGTTTCTCCTTAGTTCAATATCCTGGGTCAGCTTTGCTTCTACACTGAGGTGTTTGCTGTGAAATGGGAACTTGAGGGAGGAACTTCCAGGCTGGTTAGGTAATACAAAATGGGATGCTGTGTTCAGGCAAAAATAAGCAAAATTAAACAATCACAGTTGGAAAAATGCCATTTGCAAAAGCAGACACTTCCCAAGAATTCCTCTGCAAATACGTTCATGGTTGGTTTTTCTTTCTGTAAAGTTTTAAAAAATGTAACACAAATACACAATCCCTGCTCAAGTACCTATTGCATTTTTTTTAACGTGATGCTGCACAATCTCTGCTGCTCTTTAAAGAGCATGCTAAGATCTAATTGAAGATTACCTGTAATGCTAAAGAGTCCAGATTTTCATTACAATTCAGAATTCTGGGAGTCTCTAAAACTGGAATTATTCCCTTTCTGGAACACAGCCGGACTGCAATTGAAGAGTTACCTGTAATTTTGTGAAAAACATTAAGATATGCATTTTGTACAGAAGTGTTTGCTTACATGCACATGACTTCATTGGGAATTGAAATTGTACAGTGGGTGTGACTGTGTATCTGGTGTTATTTGCTGTTTGCATATAAAACATTTATCTCTTGGGATTACAAGTGCCCATCAATCATTGTTCTTTTTCAGACACGTTTTGCACTCAGACAAGAACTTGTCAGAGTTGCCGAAAATACTCTTGCCAGATTCAGATAGGTATTAATATGCTAGAGCTATAGAAACATGGCTTTTAAATCAGAGACAGAAATCAACATTAAACCATCTGATAAACTGTTCATCATATCTTGAAAAACATACTCCAAATATCACAAAAAAAAAAAAAAAAAAAAGGGTCTTGTGGAGATCCATGCAATAGGTACTCCTCTGAAAGGTCTTGAAAGCTGGTATATGCCACTGCAGTACTCTGTACTTTCCAGATCTCTTCTGTGAGAAGCCCAAATCTTGCTTTTTTTCCTGATTGAAGTGATACCACAATGTAACCACAGTTCATGGAAAGTGTCCTGAATCCTAATGTTAAGTAGTAAGTTATATCAAACACTTGTTCTTTAGTGACATGAACTGACTCTCAGCCAGTTTCTGAACAGGTATGTGTATCGTATCAATTACATTTGAGGCAGAAGACTGTGTGGATAGATTTATGCTCCTGCTGCCTGAGCTCTGCTTTAAGCAAAGAGCTCTGATCTCTGATCTACTGAGCTTATATCTCTCACAAACCTTACATTTGCCTTTGGGAAGTGAAAGAAAGTGAAAGAAGTGAAAGAAACACATACCATTCACAGTGTTAGGTTCACACTTCTCTTTGGAGCTGCTGTATTTACCTACAAAAATCCTTTCAAAAGTAAGGTTTTTTACAATGTTTTCAGAAGCATTCACTGTATAAATGCTGTCTTCACAAAAGTTAACTGTACAGAAAGAAAAAAAAACATATTCTGATCAAACATTTTTAATAGATGGAGCAATTTTCAAAAATAAAATGTTATACATTTTACTATGTATATTATGTCCGTGTATAAAATATTATACATGAACAATAGAAACTCACTGAATCTTTGGCCTGAAAGGAAATAAATGTCTGTTAAATCAGTTAGATAAATGTTACCTAAAACCAAACTGCTGTAAGAGATCTTGAAGTCACCAAAGACATAAAAGCCCATAACTTTTACTACCTGCACTATTTTCACTGCCTCAGTCCTGGTATATTTGAAAAAGTTGATAAAGCTTCACTCTCAGAATCTTGCTACCTAGGCATTAATTAGATCTCTAACTTAATGCCACAAAACACAGCAGAGGGGGGGGACAAAAATCCAAATTTACTGCGAATGAGACTCCAACAGTTAATGGAGTTTCAGTCTTAAAACAGTTTCAGTCTTTGGTGACTGAAACATGATGTCTTAGACATGGTTGCTGGAATGGGAGGTGGAAGTTCAAGAAGGCTCCCTCATGTCACCCCAAACCCCACACTTTTGCCAAACGCCTCATATTGGTGCTTCTACAGGCAGGATGGTAGATGGTACAACTTAGTAGATGTGTGGCCTGACCCAATATGGCAGCCCATTGCATCCTAATTTCATGCCACACTGCTAGAACAATGCAAATTGACCTTGCAATGTTGCAAATGCTTGAAAATATACTACAGCATGGTCTTAGGATTTGCAGCATCTTGTACTTGCTAACTTTTATTAATTGAGAGCACAGTTCAGGTGATTGTCTCCCATTAGCAGATATTAGACAAAGAGTATTTATGGTCCTGAGAGGGCTTGGGAGACTTGGAGCCCCTCTCTATGTTCTGGCACTCATTTCTTTGCTAAGTCACGTAACTTTTTGTGGATCTTATTTTCTATAGGTTCTGCATTTCCTCAACCAGCATTCTCCTTGTCTATACTCATGTCCCAAGTGCAGAGATCAGCATTTGCCTTTGCTGGCTATTATGAGGTTTTCACTGGACTGATCCTCAGATTTCTCAAGGCTCTTCTTTATTGAGGTGAGAGCTAAATGGCCTTAATTTGCAGCAAGGGAGGCTCGCATTGGGTATTAGAAAAAATTCCCTCTCAGAATGAGTGGTGAGCTGTTAGAACAAGCTGCCCAGGTAAGTGGTGGAGTCACCATCCCTGGAGGGTTTCAAGAAAATGGTAGATGTGGCACTGAGGACATGGTTAGGGGGCATATGGTGCTGACAGGTTGGCTGGACTAGATGATTCAGTGATTTTTTCCAACCTCAACTACTTTATGATTCTATGAGACTCTACCATTGTGTCAACAATACCTCCACATCATTGCAAGTTTAATATTGCTCATGGATTTGCTGAGAGGGCATTCTGTGCTATTATTCGGATTGTTTATGAAGATATTGGGCAAAGCTGGCCCTAGAATCAACCAGCAGGTTGCCTTAATTTTCCTGTATGTCAGTCAAGCCATTGATACTACACTTTGAGCTCAGCCATTTAGTTTATTTCACCCCAGCAAAAGGTCCATTCACCCAACTTGTACATTATCACTTCCCAAATGAGAATGCTGAGGGAGATAGTATCAGAGGCCTCACTGAACACAAGATGTCTTATATCTCTTGCTCTCTGTTGTTTGCAAAGCCAGTTATTTTCTACAAAAGGTAATCAGGTTGCTCAAGCTTGAATTGTAAAATCAAACTGACTATTCCTAATAATTCTCATCTTTCATGTGCATGAAAATAGACTCCAAGAGAATGCAATCCAGAATCTTCTATGTTCTGGTGAAACTGACTGGCTTATGGCTTCCAGAGTTCTGTTTCTTTAAGGATGGGCATAATGTTGATCTTTTTTCAGTTTTCTGTAGCCTCTCCTATTTGCCATGGTTTTTCACACGTGACAGCAGCCCCACAGTGACATTAGCTAGGTCTTGTGGCACTCTTGCATGAATCCTGTCTATACCGATGCATTTGAATACTTTTGTGGTGATGCTGCCTTGCTTCTGACAATGAAACCCAGGAATGTGTTGCTACATTCGTGCATAAATGCATATACATTCATAGATGAACACCTATTTATCTTGTGTCATTTCAGCTATTCAGGTCTGAATGTGTTTTTGGCTGGTTTGTATATGTACTTACACTACTTAGTCTTTGAATTACAGGAAAGAGTTCATCTGAAATAAAACTATTTGATGATTTTTTTTTCCCCACTGATGCAAATCTCAAATTACTGCAAATATTCTGAATTTATAAGTAAGGTTGGTCCAGAACTAAATACAAAAATGAGCAAACAAACAAACAAAGTAGGAAGAAAAGCAGGCTCTTTGGTATGACCTGTGACAAAAAGAGCCGAGGTATGTACGAAAGAAATGAAATATGAACCAAGATGAATATTTTCATTAGGACAAATGTAATTGGTTTACAAAAGTTTTTTCGCCCCATGTTCTCTGCTTTTTCCTTCTGGCAATAAGTCATCACCTACCCAGCCCCACCATTTCTCCTTTCAACTTCCTTAACACCCTCTGTGCTGTTTTTCCACACTCTTGATGCTCCATTGGGCCCCCGTTCCTCACTGTTATGTCCTACATTCATCTTTTGATTTCCAGTACATATAATACACATCTGTATTTTGTCAGTTGCTAGAGAGGAGGCAAATGTCATGGATAGTTGGGAGTGGCTAGGAAAGACTGACCAGCTCATTGGCAAGTTGAATTTGTCAGGAATGGAGAATAACAGACAGATGGGCACTATAAACTTTTACAATGTACAGTAAATCAAATACAGAATACCCATACCCAGGAGTGGACATTGGAAATTAGAATTAACATCATGATTTGTTTCCAGTGCTGAAATTCCAGATGATTTCTCTGAACTATTTTGCTCAAACATTCCAATGCATCATGAACCCATCCAACCCACCATTGTTTGCTGGCTGCTCTACCCAATTCATCACAAGGAAGCAGTATGGCAGACCTGAAGTTTCCGTCTACCTAGCAACCTCACCAAGAATATTTTCCTGGATAAGCCACAGACCTTGCAGCATCCATCTGAAAAATAGAGTGAGTTCATTTGACAAAGGTACAGCTGCACAGCTAGCTATGTGGCAGCCTATCTGCATGTCAGAGTGGTCACACTGCAGGTTGTTACTTCCAAAAGTGTGTGCTGGCTGGTCTTACCAGCCCTGGTGATCATCTGGGAGCACCCCCTCCATTTACACCAGCGCAGAAATGCTATGCTGTGGCAAAGAAGCCTGAAATGGGAGGCAGCCAGGCCAGTGCTACACCAGGTGTCAGAAATCTGACTCACCCAAAACTTGTGGCTGTAGTAGCAGGAACTAAGGAGACTGCAGTCCCCTCAGTAGTGCAGAGCTGAATAGCGCCCTCTTGGCACCAGCAAATCCAGAGAGAGGAATACTGGCCCCTGAGATCTGACTCAGATTTTCAAGTCACTGTGATGTTGAAACAGAGGAATTCAAACAAAGGCCAAATTGGCTAGAAATAAACCACAGACAGCTGAAACCCATAATATCTTCCCCAGATATATTACTCATTCAAAAGAGTGACAGAAGTGGGTGAAATATACAGCCTCACCGAGCAAGACGAACCACATCACTGCTTGCACGCCTGACCCTGCTGAGCAGTGATGAGGAGACAGGAGAGGAGTCATCAGCCTCCCAAAGCAGAGGGAACTACAGACATAGCACCATTTGCTGGTGCTGCCTTGCTTGTACTGACCTATATCACAAAATTGTCCAACCCACTCGTTGGGGCACACACAGGCTCTATCCTGGCAGAATCCACCATTGAGGCAGAAGCAAGGAGGTACCACAGGTCCTGTAGTTTCTGTGTAAATAAATTATCAAGATGTAGGTAACATAAGTAAACATAAAATATACATGCATATGAATAATTTGATGAGAGGAAGAAACAAATAAGATGCTGATTTATTTGGATCTTCATCTAAAAAATGTTTCATTCTGTGATCCACAGGCTAGCACATACTCAGCCACTAGTTCATCCTTATCCCCAGTAACAATGCCGTGAAAGTGTAGTCAAAGGTTTCAGCAATTAATCTGCATTCGCACAAAGACATAGGCAGAAGCTGTTCTGTGTAGCTGCCAGAAGAGCAGGAACAGTATGGGCTTCCAGTCTGCAAGAAGCTCAAGCTGTTGAATATGTGAAAAGCCCAAATTGCTTCTGCAGGATTTCACAGGAACAAGGGGGCAAAAAGAGGACCACAGATTCCCCTGACTCAAACTGGTAACAAGCAGAGGATAATCAGACATCCAAGAATCACAGAGAGATATTCTGATTTAGGCCAGGAGCTATGAGATAACACAGATGAAAATCCATGCTCTGGTCTCAGCCATAGCTTCTATTCATACTCCAGGACAGGTGCCAATTTTCATTCTGTCTTTTGGCAAGAATAGAGGGCTTTGTCTGAAGTAATCATTGCACTGGCTGCTGCTGCTTCAAGAAACAAAAAAAAACCCAGCATATATGCAATAGCAGTGAAATTGCTGATCTCAGAAACTTCTGCATATGCCATGATATTGACAGTGTTCAACAAGCTCTGAAAAAAATGTAGGTTTCTCAAAAAAAGACACTGGAAAATCTTTAATGACTAAGGAGTGTTCTGCAACAGAAAGTGCAGTAGAGAAGTCATTGGTGGATCTCAAGCTTTGAGAGATGGCTTGACAACATGGGGAATTCTGCATGAACCAAGACTTCCTCTCAGTTCATCTCACTCAGTCCAGAAGTGGAGGGTAGAGTTTGGAGTCCATCTGTAACATTCACAGTGAACACAGTGCTCTGAGGCACTTTATTCCTTGAAATTATACAGAAAGATGAAGCTGAGGCCTACCAATGGATATGACATTTTAGTGTCTGTATTTTGAGATGCTGGCAAAGGGAATAAAGCCAGAAAATGTAAAAGTTAATAGTGCCGTCAGGAACACGTGTGCTATTGTATATTCCTCATTCCTCACTAAGACTGCTTAATTTCTTACATTTTAATGGGATTCATATAATTGGAAAATTATTGCAAAATACAGAGGATCTGCCACATGGCTGGGGTAATTCAGTTCTTGGCAAGCATTGCTCAACTCTTTCTCATGTTGCTGCTATTTAGTATTTGTATTTCCGTCTGCCTCAGCTATGTTTCAGCCAGATGTCTATGATGCTAGTGGAATAACATCTATGGACAGCTAGGTAATGTCTCCACCAGCCATCAGTTGTCCAAAACAAATGGTTTCTCCACTGGAAATCTTACAAAAAAGGAAGGGAAACTCATGCAGCAGTTGAGAGCTTGATGGCCCCACCTCAGCATTTGCAGAGAAGGGCTCTGTGAGCTCAAATTGGGTTGATGTTTGAACTGCTCATGCTCCATTGCTCTTTTCTGGGGCAACATAGCAGAGAAAGAGCAGGCCTTACAGTGGGATCCCTTTAGGCCTGGAAGCTTGCAAAATACTTGGGAATCTGTAGCACAGCTCCAGGCCTCCGTCTTATTTGTTGAACTTGTGCCTGAAGTAAACATGGTATACAGAATCCCTAAAAACAAAGCTGCAGGAGTGCTGCCTTGCAAATGCATCAGATTCTGGGCTGTCTACAGGAGAATAGGGGAAGGTGATCAAGCAGGGCAGCCTTGGGCTGGAAGCACTGATGGTAGTACTTCTACAGTCAACAAGGCTATCAGAATCTAACTTTCATAACTACCCTTCACACAGTAAAACTCTTGGCCTAAATAATAGTGGCATTGGCTTAAAAATGTAGGGTTCTTCTGTTTTTATTTTGAGTTTCAGAAAACATATTCTTTTTATTTGTCTTTGGCTTTTAAGTTTTGCAGAAATTAATCATTGCAAGAACCACACTGATTTTGACTGTATATATATTTAAATCAAAACTAAGATTGTTGCATCATACTACATCATCAAGACCTTTATATTTTGTCATGTTTTGTTCTTAAACCAAACATCCCGGGAACTGTTAAGGCTGATACTTGCAGTTTAAGTTTGGAGAAAGAAGAAACACTACTCCATCTATGCACAGCAAGTGCTGCATCACGTGGACATGAAGATATCCTCCATCCTTGAAGCAACTGCAGTTTACAAATTAAGCAATTAATATTTACTTCTGTGTCATTTTGTGTGTTTAGGTGTGTTCCCTCCCTGCAAACATCTGATAAATCACCTGAAGCAAATATAACCTCATGAGAATGTAAACTTTTCTCTATTCCTCCTCTCAGCCTCCAGTTACATCTGAATTTTTGCTGAGCAAGCAGCAAGGAGTAGCTGATTCTTTCTATGAACTATATTTCTGTATATGTCTATGCATGAATTTGTATCCTATCAATTTATTGAGTATTCTGCTGAAAGGAAACCCCAGCAAATTTTCTGCTTTGAGTTCGTACAAGGAACTTTTCAGAGAGTACAGTGACCTGATTTTCAGATATAGAATATGCAAAATGGTGTTTCCTACATTCCTTCCACCAAGTCTTCTATAATGCAAATTGTAATGATGTCATGGACAGGTGCTATACAACACGTTTTGTTTATATGGTGTTCCTTATCTTGTAAAGCTACCTTGTAAAGATAGTAACACTTTAAAGCATTACCAGCCTAGAAAGAGATTTGTTTCTACCTTTTGGAAAGTAAATCAGATTTCTACCAAAAGAGTGAAAAACATTCAAGACAATTCTTCAAAGCTGTGTCAGAGAATTAATTGAAGAAGACAGACATTTCCACCTAAAATGCCCAGGGCAGGGATGAAGCTAATAGTAATCATGTTTAAGCACTTCAGAAAAAGCAAAAGAAAACAGAGACCTTGGATACAGCTCAAATGGTGCAGAACTGTATTTCTTACCTTTGTGAAACCTGACGACAAGCTGCCAAATGCACAGGGAACAGAGGGTCACAGCCACTGCACAGCAAGCAGTCCCAAGTAACACTCTCTCCCAGTGGAGTGAAGGCATGTTGCGGTGCCAAATGTCTGCTCTGCTATAAAATTATATTACACATCCGTAACCGTGATGGATAAACCATTAACTGCTACTTATCTACCGCTAGCACTTTAACCTTTTTGGTTCCATTTAGGGAAGAAGAAAAAAAAAAAGGCACAAAAACACACATATTTGTAGAGAAGTAGCACATCATTATTTAAAACATTTTTCACACCACAAAATATCTCACTCATCAAGACATTATATCTCAAGTATTCTTGTTGCTTGGAGCAGGTACCCAGCTATGCTTGTACTAACAAAGCCAGAGCCCATTTAATGTGTGTGTCAAGCCCACAGCCATGCTGGTGGACCTCTCCTCACTCCCAGCACAGTACAGCACCCCAGTACACATCAACAGGGTTTCTGGTCCCCAAACCAGACCTGCCCAAGGTCCCAGGACGCTGCCTGGCATGGCTGTACATGTACTGGTCAGGGTGTTAACACCAGAGGCCTGTCAGGGCCACCACCAGAGTGCTAATAGCAGGGAAGCCAGGGGTCTGAGGAGGGAGGCTGGAGAGATAGAGGAGGAGGTCTTCCCCTGGTGAGAGGAAATGGAGATGGAAACGCTTTATTATAAGTGTTTATAATAAACACTTTATTATAAGACTTTATTAGGGCTGGCCAACAACAGGCCTTGGTGTTTAATTTCAGGAGCGTAAATGGCACCTCCATGCCATGTAATTGGGAGAGGTGGTGAAGCAGGGACTACTTAACAGCTGCCCCTACCTCTGCCCAGGCTGGTAGCTGCAAATCACTGCACAAGGCCTGTGCCCATCTGACAGGGGGTGAGGCCCTGTCGCACCATGATGCAAACACCAACAGTAAATAAGAGGAATATAGAATCATAGAATCTTTTGAATTGGAAGGGACTATTAGTGGTCATCTAGTACAACTCCCCTGCAAGGAACAGGGACACCTACAGCTACAGCAGGTTGCTCAGAGCCCAGTCCAGACTGGCCTTGAGTGTCTTCAGTGATGGGGCATCTGTCATCTCTCTGGACGACCTGTGCCAGTGCTCCATAGCTGCTCTTAACACACACACACACAAAAACAAACAAACAAACAAAAAAAACCTTTCTCCTTGTATCCAGGCTAAATCTCCCCTCTTTCAGTTTGAAACTATTTCCTCTTGTCCTGTTGGAACAGATCCTGCTGAAGAGTCTGCTCCCTTCTTTTTTATAGCCTCCCTTTGCATACTGAAAGGTCTCTGTCAGGTCTTCCCAGAGTCTTCTACTCTCCAGTCTGACCAACCCCAGTTCTCTCAACCTGTCCTTGTAGGAGATGTATTCCATCCCTTGGATCATTTATGTAGCCCTCCTCAGGATGCGTTTCAACAGGTCTACGTCTCCCCTGTACTGAGAACTACACAACTGTATGCAGCACTCCAGGTGAATAGAGGGGCATGTGGGTAGTAACCTCTCACTTCCCTCCATCTGAAATGGAGGTGTCATCTACCTTATTCTTGGAGGGATTCCAGGTGCAAACCATGGTGTCCCTGGGGGAGAGCCTCACTGCATCATCTCTGTGCATCTCCTCCATTAAATTTGGCCAGTGAGCAGGCACTGAAGCAACAGGGAATAGATATGCGCGTCTTTGGGCTCACAAGATATATGTCTCATTCAGATAGAATGAGGAAGGGAAAGAAAACACTGGAAAAACATACACAAAAAATGTGAAGAAGAAAATTTACAACTCAAGAACTGCTAAAATCAAAACTCTCTTCATGCTATCATGTCTCCTACTGACAAATTTAAAAGTAGGACATTAATGTCACTGTCAAAAAGAACAGGCAAGCAGAGCTATTTCAAAGAAATGATTCAGAATAAAGACTGACATTTTTTCATTGGTAACCGGTGAATGAGTCCTTGGTACACAAGCAGGAACAGTGCCCTTCTTTTATATGGTGTTCTTCCTCAGCAGCTTTTAGGAAGGGGGCTTGTTAGGCTTCTTTACTTGCAGAAGCACTTTCATCCCAAGTTTAGAAACAGGTCTCAAAAAATGGACTTGTGTAGAGCTAGTGAGAGCAAGGCAGACGTAAATAGACAGGACATTCTGGGGGGAAACCGAGCCACAGAATAGTCCAACATGGATTTAAGCTATATTCAGTATAGACCCAACTGTGAGGATTGTTATTAAAAGCATACTCAGCTCCCACATCTAGTGTCCTTTGCTCTTAGAAGTGCTTCTGTGTGATAGCAAGGGCCTTGTGTACTCACAGAGATAGCAAAGCAGGAAAGAAATAAAAACTAAATTCCATGTTTACTAATGCCGCCCTTACTTTTCAGTGAAAATGTCATCCCTCCTTCATTCCTTTACATATGTGGCATCACTGTATGTCTTCGAGTGAGATGTTGGTCTCTACCGTGATTCCAGAATTTTGGCCTACAGTCTCAGGTTGCAAATGAAGATAGTTTGTCAGGTGGGAAGTGGCAGAAGAACTATAGGCTGAAAGAACTGGGAGCTTCTAACTTCACCAGAGCTCTTTATATAAGCCTTAATAATCAAACAATAATGGCATATGGAAACAGATGGCAAAATTTAAACAAAAATACATCCTAGAGGATAGTACATTTTATTTATGAAAATAGTAAACTTCTGTTATATGACCAAACTGAAAGAAAACCTTAATACTTGCAAGTTTGTATGTGACACAGCTGTGGGAAGACAGAACTATTCTTGAGTGACTAGATGTGTTTCTTCTGCTTCTCTCCATTTCCTTTGAGACTTAATTGAAGCCAGATGTTTCTTATTGCCTTTCTATTTTTTGTTTTCAAGCCCAAATAAAGTGCAGTGCCAGCAGTAAACACCGTCTTTGACATTTGTTCATGTGTCAACTACATCTGGTTGAATCACAGCTACAGACAAGTAAAACTCCAGCAAAGCAGTGCAGAATTCTAGGATTCTAGGATTTCACTCATGCTGTCATTCAATTGTGGAGAAGGAACTCAGCATCATTACTTTTGGGGTTGCCATACAGGTGCCATAAAAACCCAGAGTATATCTGGGAACCTCAATCCACCTAAACAGCACTGGAAGCAGACTGGAACACCACGTGCCATAAATGCAGCTTCCCCTCTGCTTTAGTCCTCAAGCTAGAGGAGATTTCTAGCTGCTCAACTGCTAACCAGTTGCATGAATCTTCTTTAGAAATGCAGCCTGTTGTCCTTTTCTTCTTCCTCCCTTTCAGAGATGCAACAATTTGCAGACATGACCATCTCATTTCATGCCCTTGCAGTGATGTTGACCCCTTGGCTAACATCCCTTTCAGAATATCTTATTAAAATGCAGTAGCCCTTATACAAGAACTTTTTTTTCTACATAAAGCTCCAAACCATGATGTTGTATTTGTAATTATGCTTTTTCAACTATTTTTTAAAATGTGTTTTTATTCTAAGAAGTGTATGTAGCGTCTTGTAGAAATCCATAAACTGCAACAATTTCACATCAAGTTGCTAGAAATTGCTATTCTGAAAGTCATTTGAAGACTAGTTATGCCCTGTTTGACAAATATTAGGATTTTTCCACATATTTTGAGCAAGTACATATTTGACCTAGAACAGATTTTAGAGGCAAATGCGCAGCAGCTTTCCAGTTATCCTCCTCCCTTTTAATGGATGTGCAGTCCGTGGGAGTACTTGATATTCAGTCTTTATTCCACTATTGCACTTACTAAGGGACTTTTTGGATAAATAACTATTCTGTTTTCTTCCATTAACTTCCGTAGCCCTAACCCAACTGCCATAGACCAGCAAAGCTGAACTGCATAGGGATACTACATTAAAGTACCAGATTTACCAAAGCTTTCTGTTACCTCGATATTTAGGATAAAATCCCCTGCACTGCCAAATTTATTCTAGGTGGGCTGTCAGAGTAACATGTCTATCTATCCCATCCTGCCCCATAATGATTATGGTTTTCCCCAGGAAACATAACAGACATCTTAGATGAATAAACTGATTTTATTTAAATAAAATTACAGGCATATCTTGTCTATTATACACTACCATACAGTTTTTAAAAGACACCAATATTTAACAATAATTTAAATTCTCTTGAGAGCAGCTACCTTTTCTGAGTGGTATTTGCAAACTTGTCAGAGTTCCCTCCCTCATTCAATTCCAGCAAAATCAGACACTAGTGAAATGCCAACAGTTGTACCCTTTCCACCATACAGGCACCCTCCTGTTCTCGGACATCTGTTTTGAATAACACTTGAAAAGACTGAGTCAGATGCTCTGTGTAATGAAAACCCACCCTTGAAATGCTTGTTTCTGTCCTTTGTGGTACATTATGCACAGAATCCCACCATAACACTCTATATATTAAATGCAAATCCAAGAAACTGCTCTTTCTTTAAGACTTCAGGACCTGTTTTATTTGCATTTCTTCAAGTCCGGTAATACAATGCCACCTTCTCTTATACAAAGAGAGGTTTTGGAAGCAGTACATCCTGTAGTTCTTGGTAATAGACTTTACTCACTTCCACTTTAGGCTTCTTTTAGAGGCACCTTTGCGAAGCAAAGCAGCACCACAACCAGCTGGTGTGTCTGGTGGTCTCTGATCATTTACATGGAATTCAGCACAGGGGAACATGAGGAGATGCAGGAGATACCTCAGCAGGCTGAGTTCTGCTAAGGATCTCTCGAAAGAAAACAAGCAGACAGACAAACACTGTTGAAATAACATCCGGACATGAACAGGGACAAAGCTGAACTCATGAGGCTGAGGTGGTCCCAAGAGGAAAAGTGGCAGCTGGTGGCTCTCCTGGCCATTAAGTCCGAGTACTGGCACTTTCTGCTTCTGAAAAATCAGGATTTTGCTAAACAGCTGCCATATTCACAGCTCGCTCAGGTGACTGAATCCCATGAGGACCTGTCACTTTGTCAACAGATTCTGGCTCACTGAGATAGATTTTTGTAACATTTCCCAGGTTCTCTTCCATAAGTAACCATCTTCTCCATTTCCCAGCGCTTCAGAAGCTTTACACCCCAGCCATGTAGTGCAATGAGCGAGTACTAAGTTACAGCTGGGTGCAGTGATATGCTTCATTTGCCCTAGGTAGCCCCAATGCTATTAGCAGTCAAGCTCCTCAGCAAACTGAAGGATCCTTCCCCTTATGCCCGCAGAAAATTTGATTTTAATGAAACTGCAGTAATGAAACTCAAGTCTTAGATTTTCAAAGGGAATTAAATATCCATCCCGTAAGAGTTTACAGTAAAACTGTTGCAAAAGTGAGAGCTACAAAAATGATACCTAGTCTACAATGATGTCCTGAGACACACTTTGTTAAAGTCTGCCAAAATCTCCAAGGCACTTCAGAGAAAGATAGTGGAGAGGAGCAATCAATAAGAAAAACAGTAATATTAGGACTATGTATTTGAAGTTTCCTAGTTTACATCTGTAAACAGAGAAAAGTCAGGGAGCCAGCTAGTTTTACATCCTGATGTAGATTCATATAGATAATCTGACACTACTTTTAAGTGTCATGACACTTGGTAAAGAAAGATCTCAAATAACTCAGAAAAGGACCAACTGAACTCTTCTAAAAAGACATATCAAAACTCAGCCATGTCAGCACACTTTTTTTTCGTGCTTACGATTTCACTTTAGTTTAGAGATATAGCACCTTAATATTTGTACAGTATTAACCGGGCTTGTCACCAAAAATAAAGCACCAAAGAAACTTGCACTGCTTCTGTCTATGAGGAGAGAAGTTCTTTCTCCTTCAAAATAAATGGCCCTGTTTATTTTAGAAAGGCACTGGTAAGCCTGATGTTCTAAAATTCAGCACTAACAGCACATGCAGCCAACAAAAATTCTCTTTGGAAGAGAGGAGACAAAAGGGAAAATCTTATAAATGAAGTAAAATAGCTTTAGAAAAAGCATTTAGTGCTATTTTTTTTCTGAGCCCTGAGATCCCCTTGAGCTAAAAACTATGGTTTTGCTCATCTTTTCAAGCAACCAGCTTACCACAATTAGTAATTTTATGTTACTCATTCTTCTGGTGAAACTGGAAACTGGAGGGGCCAGACCCTACAACTCTCTCTTCCAGAGCCCAGTGTTACATTCTCTCAGGAGAATATGGAAATAGCAGAATAACAGAACAAACACTTCTGCAGCACCAAACCCAGTATTATTTGAACAGAACTACTGCATCAGCAACTAGAAAATAGTATTTTTAGGTGGAATGTTCTAAATGCTAGAAGCTATTTTCCAGAATAACCGCCTCACCACAGCTAACCATGCATCATCGCCCATGACCATCAGGACATCTCCTGTCATCAAGCCCCTGGAAAACTGAGCATATGCTGCCCTGCTGCTGAAGCCCGGTTTTTTAAGATATCAAGAGAGTAAGAGCCAGGCTGCAGGAGTTAGCCCCACGGGGGCAGTGTGCTGACACACTCACTCTTCTGCTGCCTTCTGCCACGTATCAGTTATTTTGCTATTGCAACTGTTGAGGTTGGAGCACATCCCAAGTGAGACTGAGTGCTGGAGAGGGCACCCCAGGCCTGGCTGCAGCTTTTCCAGTGGGAAAAATAAACACAATTAAACAAAACAAAACAAAACAAAACAAAAAAAAGGAATTTTTTTTATTATTATACAGAGAGCAATAGCACATGGCCAGCTGGGCACAGAACAACTCTGAAGGAAACCTCTGCCCTCTCACTGATCACTGTTTTGCATTGTACCGATTGCTCAGCGTTTGTGGGAAGAGGTGCAAACCCATCTCATCCACCTCACAGTTCAGTATCACCTAGTCCAGATCCAGGCACTGGGTACAGATGTATATCTGCCCCCAAGCTTTGTTGAAATTGCACCAAATCCCACCTAAGGGAAGGAAATAGACTGGGGAAACGAACTGCTTTTTTGGCCAGGGGCTGATGCAGGACGACTTTACTGGAAAAGAAGCTGCTCTGTGTGCTGGGGAGAAGCAGGGTCAATGCACTGCCTTTCAAAGCCAAATGATAGCAAAGAGGCAAGACTATCTAGGCAAAGGAGGGAACTGTGGTGGTTTTCATTTACTGTACACCCCTCTGGTCCTCCTACAGAAGTTTAGGAGTGAACACACAGCACACTGTTCAAGGAAATGCTGAAGGGCTTTGCTGTGAGTAGTTCTTTCCACTTAACATAAAGCCACAAGCAAAGATGTGAATTTGTTATAAAAGACAGCTGCAAGGCTGTGATTTTGTATGTTGTTCTACTCTCTTCCAGGTCTGCAGATTTGTTTATGCACTATGCTGTTTGCAGTTCAACAAACGCACTTATTTGGACACCCTAATTGTGGAAACAAAACCATTCGTTCAGCAGCAGATGGAAAACATTTTGCTTAGCTTTTAATGAGTCTAACACACAGACTTGGTAATGCCACCTCACTCAAGTCTGAGCATGTCTAATATTAGTCTATTTTTCACTGAGGCATGTGATAAGCAAGGTAATAGTGGAACCAAGCTTACCCTCCACAAATGAAGATCTAACTTGTCGACGTAGACAATTCTTAGGTGATGATATTTCCATTGCAAGCTGTACTGAAGAGCAAATAAGACGGTAAACAGGTCAAGAAATGAGGTATCAGTTAGCCTAATGGTAGAGCGGACAAACTAGTTGAGCCATATTCATACTAAATTTCATCTTCTGACTCCTGATCTCGTTCAGATGTTTTCAGTAATCCCATTTCCATGGACTGAGACTGCTTAATCTTTGACCGGACTGCCCTGGAGAAAAAAAAAAAGAAAGGCTTGTCATAAATATTAGGAATCAGACAGTGACTCAAAGACTAGCATGGCTGCTTTTAGAAGGTAAAAAACTATTCAATGCTTGCATCAAATCAGGGAGTTCAGATGATTGTTTTATTAAAACCTGTAACAGGCCACTGCTGAAGACACCATGAAGAGGATCAGGATCATTTTTACAGCAAAGTTCACATAGCAGTCAGAATTCTGTCATGATTAGCATTGGGATGCAAGGAAAAGGGCTATCTTTAGAAATTAGAGGATGAAACTGGCTAGTGAAAAAAAATCAGGTCTGGTCAAAGGAAAGTACTAGCAGTGAAACCTGACCAATCATCTTCAAGTCATCAAGCCAGTTGTTAAATCCACTTGGAATTGGTAAAGACAAGCACTGAAAGAGAGAAAAAGGTTTCCCCAGTTTCTAACTCACTGCAAGTTATACAGTTACAAATGTGGAAGACCATCAATGCTAGAAGCATTATTCTATCCAAACTGTATTTGATGAACATTTTTCTCCTTTCTACTGAAGTAACTAGTCACATTTTCCTCACTGGTTATCTATAGCTAATTTCATTTTACTTTCCAAGACAATTAATTACTTTGTGGAAACTGTTTAATTTGCTGGTAAAGTCTTCCAAAAATAAAGCTCCTGTTAAACAAACAGGTCTCCATAGTTTTAGACAGTTTTCAGTTAACTTACCAGCTGACAATTGTGTAGTTCACTGCAAGTATAAGAATAGCAAAAGCATAATGCCAGCAGTAGCACATGGTCAGGAACATCATATTGGTATGATCCATTTGGTTCCACTCTGGGCTCCCATTTGGAGGATAAAGAACAAAGCCAATCTGCAATAAAATAAAAGATATTTGGCAGACGTCGTGATGTGTATGCTATGCTGTATCACATACTATGCTACCCAGCACACAGCAGACGTTTCATTTGCTCATAGTGCTGATTATTAGAAACAGATTTGCAGTCATACTCAGATGGGATGGATAATTTCACAAAGCTTTGTGCAGAAATGCCTTTGAAGACACAGAGCCAGTTTCAGATTCCCTCTGCTCTTGCTCAGAGAGTGATCAAGTGGTCCAACAAGGCTCAGCACAACCAGAACCACTTATAGTAAGGACAGGGGATAATTCTCAGCGACATGTTTTACAAACTACAAACTCATCACCGTGCAGAAAACCCACCCAGCCACTTGCATGTATTCTCAACAGTGTTCAGGAATGTGTTAAACAATTCAGAAGATGAATAATAAATCAATAAATAAAAGCAAGCCCTACATCTGCTTCCATCTGGGAGAAACATCAGGTTTTGAAATAAAGTAAAAATGCAGCTTCCTCACCCAAGGCTACAAACCTGTGAGAAATATATAGCTGATTTGCTTAGCCAGAGCTGGGGAAGACCAAATTCGTATCATTCCAAAAACTAGAAAATTAGTAACCCCATGGCTGGTGAGGGGTCAGACCTTACCAGCACCACTCCTCTGTACTATATGACCCTCTTCAAAGCTCAACCAGTTAGTTGAAGATTTGGGAGCTGGGAAAAGGGGGGAAAGGAAGAAGGAGGGGAGGAGAGCATTTTGCATTTACATGCTGAGAATTCAATGAATGAAGGTGTTGATGCATAAAGAAAGCTCCTTTACCTTCTACAGATCTGTCATGCTGCAGCCAGTATGTGGTTTTTAGTCACACATACGGTTGAAGTCTAATGTGGGTGTGAAAAAAAAAAATGCACTTAAATCTTGTATTTTTAGTTCTTCAGCTTTTACTTTGAAACAGAAAACACCCTGTCTCTGGAGTTAAAATAAGAACTTGTTTTAAAGTTCAACTAGATAGACAACAAAGAATAAAAGAGTGCAACTAATTCCACTTTTGTAAAGCTTCTTAAATCAGTGAGGAAATGTACAAAAAAAAAAAGAAAATAAAACACTGAGGGCCGCAGCTCTTGAGTTCACTTATAGAAAAATACTACCGTTTAGGAGGTCTGTCTTCCTGCCAAAGCAAGTATTTAAATGTTTGATTTGGTGCTGAGTGTCCAGTTCTCCTAAGGAACAGCAAACGTTTTTATTCATCGTGTCTGGCCAGCACATAAAAAAGAGAAGGCTGTCTAGACATGCCGGAAAGAAAAATCACTGTAGTGACCTCAGTTCTCCACTATAAGACCAAACTCATGGAGTCACCAGCACTCCTACTGCTCTGTTATAAGTTTGCAACAATTTATGAGATTCCCTCTAACAGCAAAGGGATGCTGTGAAATATTCATTAATCCAACAGAATCCCCACATAAGCCAACGGATGGCAGCTACATTCTGAAGAGTCGTTGCTGGACAAGTCCAAAACGTACAGGCTTAAACTGTTACTTCCCCTGCTCACGTGCTGGAACATGGAGAAGTTATAAACTGTATAGTATTTGATTAATGGGAATTGGGAGTTTAAATACCTTTTGAATGTAGGTTACCACTGTTGAAATGTTTTTAGAATGTAGAAAGAGGCAACCTGCCTCAGCGCATGAAAAATCATTTGCGCCTTCATTCTTCTTCATGGCAGGGCAATGGAGCTGCTTGCCTCCCCTTTACTATTCTCCCCTGGGCACTGACCACCTGTTCCCACAGCAGCAAACATTGCAGGGCTGTAAAATAGCTGCCATTTGGCTTGCAGATTTGGATAGGATGTTACAGAGATCAGAGGGGACGTTTAATGACGTTTAGCAAGGGAAAGCTCAACAAAACCACCTTATTTTTTGTATTGATTCAAATAAAAGACAGCAGGAGTAAAAGGGCCTATTGTCTGTAAAATGCCTCTTTAAAGGGACATTAATGGTTTGCTGTTTTCCATGAGTCCTTTGAGGTTTGTATTTAAAAGGCATATTACATCAGCTTTCAAACACCTGCAAAGGGGTAGATGACTAATGTTGGTGAAGGAAGACATTCCCAAGGCAAAGCAGTGACCCACCTGCCAGAACCAGCTGCCTTGTAATATGCATAGGCTTGTACGGAGCATCTCGAGTACAATACTGCCACGGAAGAAAACTTCCAGAAATATGCAAATAGCACCTCCAAAGATAGCATACAGCAATAACTGATGAACGTGAATATCCAGCATGGCTCTCCCATGAAGGTGGTAGCAAAAAAGAAAACCTGGAATAAATTAAGCGAGTAGTTTAAGAAGTGTAACAAGAGGGATATCTTGTGCTCACAGAAAGTAAAAATTGAGTATGTCTGTATTGTAGTTCCAGTGTGTGACTGCTGTGCAGGTAGAAGCACACATGCTGGCAGCATGCTCTCTCTGTACATACACTGAAGCATATGCCTGAGCTACTGTGCACTTAACTAAAATATTCTCACAGCACTCATATTACTATCTCAGCAGCTTAGGAAAGCAGAGGTGAACCTGTGTGTTGCAGGACCATGCTCTTGGACTACAGTGTGGACAAATCCGTATCGGTTTAAGGAAAGCCAGGAATGCTTGGGTGTTTTTTTTTTGAAGGTTTCAGGGTGTCTAATGCTCATCTCTCACAGATCTCATTCTCTAAGGCTGATTGGAGAATCCCAGTCAAAGGGCTGATAGCTGAGTGCCAATTTCACAGGCACCTCTGCAGGGAGAAGTAAACTCACCTTCAATAAAAACTGCTAAGGAAAGCATCATCCTGTCCATGGCTACTGGCAGTGCATTAGTCCCATGAGCCACAATATCAACCAAGCCTGAAACACCGTAAAAGAGATACATGGTGGCATGCTGCCAGTTCATCAAGTGATCCCAGTGCTTTTCCTCGTAATTATACAACTTCAGGTGAGGTCCGTCAGGAACAAACTGCTCAGCCACCATTCCTGCACATGAAATGAGAAACACTGCTATTTGTCCCAGTGCTTAAGATAGAGACTAATGAGAAGGCTTTTTATAAACAGAGGAGGCACTAATATACACTAATGCAGCAGCAAAATATCAGACATCTGGGTCCAGTTTCCTGAAGTCTGCTCCATGCAATTGCTGTGTTTTCCTTCCTTCTTCCCAGTTCACTCATTCCCAGTAAAGTTTCTAAGCTGTTGTGCAAATTCAAATGGAGGCACAGAGGCCTCAAAGATGTTAATATTCTATACTATATATAGATATATATAATATAAATTTTCAAGAAAAAAGGCAGTGGGTGGAAGAGAGGCAAAATAAATTTATTTGCTGAGGGAAAGACCACAGAGGAGCTCAAGCATATATTAAACATCAGACAATCCAAAAAGGAGAAAGCCACAGGAAGCCAGCCTTTAGCTCCACTCCTGATGGGACTATTTGCATCCTGCAGTTCCCAGTAGTGAAAATGGACATGGCCATTATGTGCTTTTTCTTCTTCTTTTTATTTTAAAACAATTGTTATTGAATACATTTTTCAGCTGTCTTTCCCAGTGTTTAAAACATGAGTTTAACACATGCTGAAGTTCTCAAAAGAAAGACTTCCCGCTTCAGTCCCTGCAATATGTAGGATGGCAGAGTTCAAACTCTTAGTTCAAAGGAGATCTTTATGATAAAGCCATAAAAGGAAAATCCTTCCGCTCTGCAGTGCTACTAAAGGTCCCATGAGGACATATACAGAGTTAGTATTTGTATTGCTACTCCATCATTTTCCTTGCTTTGGCCTCTTGTTATCTTGCTAACTGAACAGTGCTCCAGAAAAGGGAAAGGAGCTTTAGGATACTTTATATCATCAATTAAGTCTTAAATTAAATATATCAATCAATTAAGAGCCAAGAAATCTTACAGAAGCTCTGGAAGTGTGCTATAGATGGAAACCACGTCATAGTCATAATGATGTAAT